AGGTTAAAAATAAATGGCAAAAAATTGTAAAATATTTTTAGAAAAAATTAAATAAAAGAACTTAAGATTGGGTTAATTTTTTTCCTTCTTTTGTTTAATGGTTAGGTCAAATTAAGAATATCAAATAACCTATCAATATTGATATCACCTATTTAAATCATTCATATTGATTTCTACGTACATGAAATTCATAAAAAAACTTAATAAACATCAATTCCTCATACATTTAATAGATTTTCCCAGACATTAGGTGTAGGGTGTTAAGCAATAGATATATTCATTATTATTCCTAGATATTAACGTAGCAAATATTTTTAACTTGATCTAGGGTTTCAAGATATATTTTCCAATACATCCCAACATCAAAGATAAACGTTAAAAAACACAAAGGATAAAAATATCAACATCGATATAAAAAAGTTCAAAGGAAGTGCGTTCAATCCTAAGAGAATGAAGTTAGTCACTCATGATGATCATTATAATGATCCAATGAAAAAGAATTCAAGAAGAATTGAAAATTTGACGAAAACTGAATTAGATGACGTCTTTCTTCTTAAAATCTCGAACTCCCACTTTTTAAAACACATCTTATCTTTTTATATAAAAATTCGTGTCATTCGCTCAAGTGGATATTTTCGCTCAAGAGAGTACTGATGATTGTCGCTCAAGCGAGAATTTGTTCGCTTAAGCGATTGAATTTATGAGAACTTTAACGTATTTTCGCTCAAGTGAGTGTCCGTCTCGCTCGAGCGAATGACTTCCAGAAACGTTTAATGTATCTTTGCTCAAGCAAGCATTCATCTCACTCAAGCGAATCTTAGACTGAAAATCTTCTTCCCTTTTTTTCAATTAACTTGAGAATTATGATCTTTGCTCTTGTACCCAAGTATTCTTCAAATTCATCCTACATTAAAAAAAATAAAAATAAATTAAAATCATCATAATTTAAGTTGTTAAATAACAGTTCAAAGCATGATTACTTCTTGTCACTTAACATTAATCGTTGGAAAAAGAAAGGGTGGAAAACAACATCAACAACACTGAGGTTCACTGCACATGGATTATAAGAGAATATTATCAGCCTCCGCCAAATTTGACTCTGCATTAAACAAATCTATCTTTTTCTTTTCATGTTGTCTGGTGCCATATTCTCATCAGGTTTTGGCTTAATGTGGGAATGACTTCATGAGAAACTAATTGGACATGGCCTCTATCTAGTCTTATGCCTCATGACAAACAATTTTTCTTATCAACTTTTCAGGATAACCACATTTTTTTCATTTTTATTCTCTTTTCAAGATAATTCATGTTTCAGACTCTACCAAACACTGAAGTTAGACACACATCCGGGACTTTTTATTATACCTTCTAATCTCTGTTAGATTGATGAGTCCATAATTCAGAGGTGTGGCTCCAGAAATGAAGCTGAGATATCTGTGTCCCATCCCATAATGCACATTTTTTCAATAATGGTTAGCCACATTGCGTTGTAGTTCATTAATTTATTGCCTACTTGCACCAAAAAGAGAGTAGAATAACCCATATGACTCATATTTTCTAATCTTGCTATGAAGTTCAACTCAGAAAAAGTTTTCCACCTTTGTTTACACCAATAACAAACCAAATCAACCTTAACATCATTATTTTAAGAATGCTTACACTGCTTTAGGGTAAGATAATTAAGTGCCACAACACAACTTGTTTGGTCCCATGTTATTAACTTTTACGGCCGCCGCTAAAATTTTAATACATTTCTTACTTCATTTTTAACTACCACTTATTCATAATTTTAATTAGTCTAGATCTAACATGTTTCGTGTTACATCAATTTCAGGTAGTATCACTTTGGTTATGTTGGGTTATAAGAAAAAAAAAGTGAAGAAAGAAAAAAAATTATATATATATATATATATACTAGTTTATTATTTATAAATACAAGAAGATAGAAAATGAAAAATATTAATTTAAAATAATAAATAAATAAATAAAAATTAATAACCATATAATTATAACTTAATTTATATATCTATACTGAAGAAATTAAAGAGAAATATTTTTAAAAAATAATATTTTTTTTAGATTTTTCGTTATTTTTCTCCTTTTATTACCATCATAAAAAGGATTAATTTTTTTAATTATTTTTTATTTCATAAATTATAAATATTTTTATCATATTTATTAATAAAAGAGATAATATAAGAAAATTAATTAATATAATATTATATATTTGAGAAGAGAATAATATATATATATATGAAGAGTAAAAAAGACATAAAAATAGAAAAAAATTATATATATATATATATATATATATATATATATATATATTAAAAAGTAAAGTTTAAAGATTTATATATAAAAATAGAGAAAAAATATAATATATATTAAAAAGGAAAATTAAATTAAAAAATTAATAATATAAAAAATTGTAGTTCTAAACTTTTTTATAATATATAATAAAATGTTATTTTTTTATTATTTTCTCTCGTATCTTACAATTTTTTTGTTATTGATCATTTTAAAAATTACACTCTTCCTTCAAACAAACAAACAAACGAGATTTAACAAATTATGTTAATGTTGCACTGTGTATTTTGATAATTCAAGTCAACAATGTAGGGATGCATGATAGTGTCAGTTTGATTAAAGATTTGGAATTTGTGTCTTTAACCTAAAGTCATGCTAAAAATAGTTGAAAGAAAAGATTGAATATTATATACACTAAACTATTAACAGAAAATATATGTAATCCTAAAAGACATGATTCTGTTTCAGCTTTTGAAAATTTTTACTTTTCAGATTCTTTAGGTATAATTATTCTCACTTGAACCTTATAAATGTTTAGGATGGAACAAACAACACTACAACCATAATCTCTTGTTTTTTCTCCAGCTTGGAGGAAGGTATCTAATAAATACTTTGAATAACAGGTTGGTAATTGATGCATGTGAGTCACCTTGTTGTACATCATGAGCTTCCATCATAAATTATATTTTTTATGTTAATTATAAGTGATTATATAAAAAAATATTTTCATTATCTAATAAATATTTATGAATTTGAAAAGTGAAGTACACTTAGATTTATTTATTTCGTTTTCATGCAATTTTTAGAATAACTCAAAATTATGATTTTACATAATAAAATATTGTATATTAGTGGAGGGTAATACTTATGCTATAAACTTTTTTTTCTTCTAGATTTCAAATAGTGAGAGCAATTTCTAAATAAACAAACATATTATATAAACAAAATTACAAACCTTGGAGACAAATTTAAATGCCCACAAGTTCTTAGAACTAGATTTGTTAAGATTAATATATCACAATAATTCAGTGTTATATATTTTAAACTTGAAAGAGGTTGAATTAAATTTAAAATGATAATATCAAATTTTATGTGGAATAAAATTATGATGAACACCGATATCTTAGGACACATGTCTCTAAACTTAGGACCCTCGTGTTTTTCATTACATATGAATCTCAAAGTTAAATCTAAGACCACATGTTGGAGGGTTCTAGGCCCTTCCAATCAGTGCCACACAAGTTGGTGACTTGGCGTTTTGCTTTTAATATTGTGAGATCCTTTTCTGTGCCACGTCACAGAATTTTCCGTGTGTCAATTCTCTTTCTCTGTGCTGTACTATCACATTATTCTTTTGTTATTAATACTATTATTATTATTATTGTTGGATCATAATTATTATAGATGGTGGTGTCTTCGTCCACTTGTAATACCTCATAAACAAATTGAAGTGCAGAAAAAACAAAAAATGATTGTGCTTATTTATTTATATACTTATTTGTTAATACAAATGCATAGCATTTGTAACCTTCCGTTGAAAATTTTGACACTTTGTTTGCTTCTCTGACAATAACCATTCTTTATCTATTAGCCGTCCATTCACAAGGCAATGGATGTACATTTGTCATCATGTCAATGTTCCTCAGTTTTACCATTGTTACTGCATAGTTATATTATAGTTATGTTTGTGAAACTTAGGCTAGGTTCTAGAAAATTTACAGTTTTCACTCTTGGTGCTGCATTAACATAACAGCCATTATTCTGTGCTGCATAAAAGGTTTACAGTGTGGTAAAACTGTGGTCCAGAAAGTGTGACATGGATGTGGTCATGGAAAATGGACTTGTGAAAGCTATAAATGGAGAAGAAAAGGAAACCTGAGTCCTGGGAATGCCACAAGGAAAAGGTAAAGACACACACTTTTTTTTATTATTGTTATTTGAAGTGACTAAAAACAACTAAGCATCCACTACTGTTGAGGACTGTCACATGAAATTCAACATCTCTTGTTCTTTTCCTCTATTTTGCATTAAAGATTCCATTAGATGCAAGTTCAGATAAAGTGAGTAAAAGGGTTTTACTGCTCCTTTTTACCTTTCATTGTCAAAAGTTAGTCGCCTCAGGTCTGAAGAGTTAAATACATGGAGAGATCCATCATTTAGAGGGTCTCTAGGGGCAGAAGCAGAAGTAAGGTCTGTCTTATTCTTGCCTCTTGGGGTCTTGTTGCTGTTGTTCAGCTCTTGTGGGGTGCCCTTCTGTTCCATAAATCTATCACAAGCTAGATACACTCCTTCAATAGAGGTAAGGAATTCTTAGGACTTGGGAAATGTTAAGAATTTTAATCAACCTCAAAATTCTGATATCAGAATTAGAAGGGACTCTCGTCTCTAATTTCAACTTGTATATATTTTCAATATTGCAGGGAAGAAGAAAAAAAGGAGTTGTTTCTAGAATCAACATAAAGTCAGGTCTCCAGATCTTCTGATTCCAAGAAAGGTATACTATTGTTTACCTTAATGGAATATCAAAATATGTTTTTGAGATTTTTCTTTGCATGCATCTTTGAGTCTCTCCCCTCTGTCTCTTTTCTTCTTTCAACTTATATTAAGTAATCATGGAGTTTGGAGGAAGTTCAATTCTGATTCAATTTCTAGTGATTTTTTTGTTTTTATTTGAACTATGTAGGAAGTGATTGATGGAGGACAACTATAGTCTAAATAGGCAGAGGAGTGGAATATGGAGATGTTTGAGAGATGGAGACTTTGAAGAAGAGGAAGTTTGGGCTGTTTTCAAGGACAGACATGATTACAATATTTCTGGTGTCCACAAGCCAAAGGAAAAAGTGTCTTCCCCTCTTGCTGTTCCTAGGACTCTTCCAAGTGCTGCAAGGATGATCCCAAGGACAAGTAGTGGCAATAGTAGTGCTAGTTCCTCTCATGAAACCAAGGTTCTTCAGCAATCAGCACCTCTCAACATTCCTGACTGGTCACAGATTTATAGGAACAAGCCAAATCAGACCCCCAAGAGTGTTTCAAGGTTTGGTGACTATGCTGATTACTACCATTCTGCTGATGGTGAAGGTGATGGTGATGGTGTTATCAATGACGGTGGAGGGTATAGTGACGATGAGGAAGAAGAGGATGAGTATGACACAAAGCTTCCCCCACATGAGTTTATTGCAAGAAGGCTAGCAAGGAGTCAAATATCCTCATTTTCAGTTTTTGAAGGTGTTGGAAGGACTCTGAAGGGTAGGGATCTTAGCAAAGTGAGGAATGCTGTTCTCACAAAAACTGGTTTCCTTGAATCATTGTAAAAGGGGTTTCCATTAATCAAATTTGTGATGTATAGGGGGTAGATAGTGGTTTCTTAGTTATTGGGGTTGTGTGCATGTTGTGTCTTGAAGATTCATTGAGACATTTACCATGAAAAAACAATGATTCATCTTGGTTGTGGTGGTGGAAGTGAAATTGGCTTATGTGAAATTTATGGTACGTGTTGTTGAAATTGAATATCATAAAGCTATTACTCTGAAATGCTCCTAACATACTAACACTTAGCTGGATCAGAAATGTAAAAAATCTTCACATCTAACAAGTAACGTGAACATGAATGAATAGCACTGAACAGATCTTTTGTGTAGTGCTTATGCTCTTTATGACACAAAAACCATTGATTTAAAAACAAGAGTCCTATAAAGAATAAAAAAGATGCATGAGTTAAGGTGAATTTAAAATAAAATTTGAATTGTGATGTAAAGTTTAAACACTAGCAAAATCCAATTTAGATGAAGCAAGCATTGCCAAGTTCAAAGATAATTAAGTTGACGGGTTACATAGTTCTACAATTATTGAATCATACATATTGGGGGAAATTGAGAGAGACATGCCACCAACTTAGTGTCTTTAATTATTTATAAAAAGAACAAAGGTTTTTATATTATGTAATAATGTGTGATAAGGGAGGGGAAAAAGTGAGTAGTCTCGATCGATCAACTCCAAATAGTGATCTCCAAAGAGAAAGATCAATTATAAAGAAGCTACTTGTAGAGTTGGCTTTTAATACACTTTCTCCAAATTCATCATGTTTTATATCTTACACCTTGTAGTGTGTGTACATTATTGACTTTCTATGCTTAAATTAGTGCTCATTACTTAATGTTTAAAAACTTACTAAAATATATATAAAAGAATAAGAGATAAAAATTTATTTGTGTACATTATTGACGTTCTATGTTTATGTTTAAAGTAGTATTCATTATTTACTTAATATTTAAAAAAATATTAAATAAATCTAAAAAAATAAATGAAAAAAATTATTTTTATTTTATAAATTTTTTTATTATTAAGATAAATTATTATATTATAAAAAAATAAATAAATTTATAATTATTAGAATGAATAAATATTTTCATAGAAATGTTTAACATTTTATAATTATATACATATATAAAGTTTAAATTTTACATTATTAGAGATTTAATGTTGAGAATTGTAAAACAAAATATATATAAATAATAATGATAATTTATTATATAATTGTTGTTGAATGAGATTTTGTACAATTTTATAATTTAAATAAACTTTTTAATGATAAGTATTAGGAATTGTAATTATTATTATATCTCAAAATACGATAATAATTATTTGTAAAATTATTTTTATATATCTTATATAATATTTAATTTCTCGTTTTTTTCATTTGTATCGATTTATTTTAAATAAGACAAATATATATTTAGAAATATCATATCGAAGTTAATTTTATATTATTTATTTATAAAAATTTATTCAAATAAATTATAATTTTTTATAAATACATTTCCATTGAATACAAATGCCTTAAAATATGATATTATATGTACATGATATTATATTTCAGTACTCGTTTAAGATAAATTATGACTTGGTAATATATAATATATTGTAATTTATGTATAATATAAAGTTTATAATTATTGGATATTGAATTAGCTAGTGTTGATTGTACCCAATAAAATGTTTTGCACTGATTGTTTGTATGTTGTAAATAAGTTGATTATTGATTTTGTATTGTACTAGACAGAATGAAAATATGTCCGTGTTTGAATAATTATAAAACATATTACATATTAAAAAAATTAAAAGAATGATATGATGATGATTAATAATATAATTGTTATCATAAAATCATATACCATAACAGTATATATCATAATCATAGTGTTGTATGTTTTCTCCAAAAATATTATAAATTTATGAGACAAGCCTAAAAAACAATTATGTCATCGTATGACAATTTAACTTATTCATCATCTTACATTTTTTTCAAAAATTGTTTCAAGATTTCCTTATAATATTATTTATAACATAAAAATTGTCACATGACGATTAAAACTTATCATTAAAGGTTTCAGCACACAATAACGATTTAATTAATAACAAATTCAAAATCATTGTAATATATATGTTTTTAACCGTCATGACCTTTATTGTAATATTGCATGTGATTTAAATTTTAAATCAAGAAATAAAAAATAATAAAATTATAATATATAAATTGAAATAATTTGTTTCTTTAGTATATATAAATATGTGCTTTGTTAGATTTAAATTTTTGAAACCAATTCAATTATGGTGGGCTAAATTGGGTTTAAATTTTTAATATGATTTTATTACTTCTCAATAACAAATGTTCATAAGAATTGCCTTTTATAGTTTTCTATAAAGAAAATATATTAAACACGATCTCTTTAGTTAGACTATGACTAAGTTGAAGAAAATGACATATATATTATAACTTACACATCTTTACGAACAATAACTTAACATACAAAAAATTAGAGATTAGAAATAAATATGTTCTATTTACAAAGACGAAAATAGTATTTGACACTTTTTTTTTCAATAAAACTTACCTAATCCATGTTATTAATTACATTCTAATTTAATCTTTACACTAAAACAAAATTATATAGAAAATAAGTTTTTTTTTCTGAAGTTTAAAACAGAGTACATTTGTTTTAAGTTAAAACAGAGTACATGTATGTTTGATTTGGTTATTCTGTTAAAATCGTTGATAGAATCACATGCATGTGTATATAAACATAATAACAAATACACACTAATATTCTTTCCTATGGCAACAATTTTTATATCAAGAAAAAACTCTAAATCCTAAATCTTGAATCCACATTCATAAAAATATATTAAATATTAAATTAAATATTTTAGATTATTTAAAAATTGTATATTTTGATGTCTTTAAAATAAATACTAAGCATAGCAATAGTTTAAATATAATTTATATGGAAGATATGAGACCAATAACAAATGTAAAGATTTTTTTTTTTTAATGCTAGTTATTAGGAGAAGATTCTATTTAATGACAATAATGTGATCATGATTGAATCCACATGAATTATATATATATATATATAATATTATAGTAATATTGAAAATAAAGAACAAACTTCATAGTTTTTTAGTCTTCAAAGTAAACTAAAAAATGTAGATCAAATATTTGATAATACTTAAGATTAAGTTTTAATAAAATACGACAATAATTAATAATTAAAAAAATACATATTAATATAATATATATAATAATACAGATTACTATATGGTTGATTATTTTAAAGCCAATTTATATTATTTTGAGTTTCTTTATATTAGTGTTAAGTTTGGTTTGATTTAATTAGTTTTTTTTTATAATCTCAACGAACTAACTAGGAAATAAAATATACCTTGATTATAAGAATTCATTAATAAAACTTAAAAAAAAAAATCCTAATTTATAGGCTGAAATATACACAGAAACATGACTAGTCTAACGTTTGAAACAACAACAATGGATATCATTTGCATCAAACACTTTTCTTAACATTATTATACATGGCTTTCAAAATTATCTTGGTAGTCAAGTTTCAAACCCTTTCAATCTTGGATCAACCTTAGCAGAGACCAGGCAAATTGTCCCAAGGGTAGCACCCTTGGTTTTCATTTTGGTTTGTGGTGTTGGTGAGAGGAAACAATGAAGCTATCGGCTTCATATCAAGTCCAAAATTGTCATCTGTCATGCCACTACCAGAGGATTGGACATTGGACCCTTCTGGGACACCATTATTGAGCCACTCATGACTCTGTAAGTTGGAAGATGGAATCACTGTAAGCAATGATGACAAGTCCTCATTCGTGAATTTGCTGAAGTCAGGTGCCTCTTCCTTTGGTTTTGGTGCTGCATAGATCATTATTCAGATGGAATCAATTACCAAATTTTCAAAACTTTTAGTTCTTCAAATATGTTCTACACTAGGGATGATGCTAGATGAACATGCACTGTAAATGAAAATAGCACACTAGTTGCTACTCTCAAATTTTGAGGAAAATATTAAGAACAATCATAGGAGAAATTAATGATAATAGACTGGTATAAATCATTATCTGCTCTTAGAGTTATGACATGTACAAATTATGAAGAATAAAATTAATGCTTTTTGGACATTTTGATTGTGGGTCTAAAACCAATTTCCCATTAGAGATAAGTATTTTTACCTTCAGATAAATAACTACGTATAAGTGTTGTCAAAAACAAGATACATACAGTAACCATAATCCAAGAAAATGAAGCAAAGATACATACAGTAACTAACTATGATGAAACCAACCTGAAGCAGAAGAAGGCCAGTAAAGAGAGCTAGATGGAAAGTCCTCAAAGCCTTGGCATGCATCAAACACATCATTTCCCTCATTCAAACTCAAGTAACCTCGTTTCTTTGAGTTATGGCCCGAAGCCAAAGCCTGAGCCTCCAAGAGAAGATCCCCCAGCAAGCCACTACTAGTTTGAAAAGAAGGATCATTGAAGTCAATGTCAAGCTTAATGTCTTGCTCTTGGGGTGGTTTATAGAACTGGTTTGAAGGGAGCTCCAACTTGGGTTGGAAAGGTGAGGATGAGGAAGAAGAAACCCCTCGGTCGGATTCTAACAAAGAGGGTTGAAAAAACTGAGAGAAACCTGAAGAAACTGGGAACCTGAATCCATCAAGATGTGGGAATTGGGCGGTGACAGGAGGGTCAGGGAGGGAGTTGTAGCTTGGAGAGGCACGGTAGCGTTTGAAGCGAAAAGGGGTGCATAGCATTGGTGCTGGTCTTTGGAAGGTGAAAGAGAGAGGGGAGGGTGAAGAGGAGGAGAGTGGAAGGGGTGAATGGTCTAAGAAAGTATGATGTGAAGAAGAGGTGAAGGGTTGTCTGTGTTGGAGAGGGGAACTGAGAGGGGAATGATGAGGTGCAGTTGGAGATAGAGGTTGTTGTTGTTGTTGGTATTGGTTTTGGTTTTGGTGTTGGTGTTGGTGGTTTTGATTGAAGAACTCAAAGTTTGTGAGATTGTTAACAGGGTTTGATCCTGTTTGTGTGAGGCATGGGGAAGAGGTTGATGCTGTGGGTCGATGGTGATCTTGCTCATCTGAATAGAGAGGGAGACCTTGCCTTTGGCGACGTTTGATCCGTGTGTTCCAATAGTTCTTGATCTCATTGTCTGTTCTCCCAGGCAACTATGTCACAACAACAACAACAAAAAGAAACTAGATTTCAAAATCTTAATCAAATGTGTTCTTTTGTTAACTTTTAATTAACATGATGCGTTCAAATTGAAACAATAAATACCATGAAAGATATATATACATATACATTTTTTTATCATCACACGTCATGTAAATGAAAGAACACATTCTAAATGCACAAATTTCTCTATTCAATGCATTAACAAAGAAACAATCAGAGATATCATTTATGTTAATCATCATTTTTGTTAACAACGCCATATATATAAACATGTCACATCAACGATCACTTTAACATGACATGCTTAAATGCATATCATATTATTAGTAAATGATGATAAAAATACAAGAGTCAAAATTAACAGAGATTTTTCTGAAAAGACTAGAATTAAAACTCGCCACTTTTACATGAGAACTTATAGTTTTTTGTTGTATCTTGAGTTTTTGAGTAATTAGATATATCTGTGGATAGAATATATTCATGCAATTATTTTTTCTGCAGATGTGAAGAAAAGAAGATGAAGAAAAAGCCTACCAGAGCAGCCATTCTGGCCCATTTGTTGCCAAGCTGTGAATGAAGTTCAACAATGAGCTTCTCTTCCTCAGGAGAGAATGCACCCTTCTTCAAATTGGGCCTCAAATGGTTAGCCCACCTAAGCCTACAACTCTTCCCACACCTATTCAACCCTGTGTTCCTCTGCACAGCATTCCAATTCCCTTCACCATGTTTTGTCACATATTCCATGAGAACAGCATCTTCTGCAGCTGTCCAAGGACCCTTCTTCAGCACCTCCTCCACAATGCCACCACCCCCACCACTACTACCACCGCCGCTTCCGCTGCCGCCGCCGCCACGGCTTTCATCGCCACCAAATTCATTATCGCCAAACATTGCCAGCAACCCATTTTCACCATTGGCGGCATCATTAATGCTTGCCACGCCCTCCATCAAGTTCCAATCCCTTCCAAAATCAGGGCAATGAAATAAAGCAGTTGAACCTCCCCCTCTTGTTATGCGTTTAGCTTCTTCAATTCTCTGTCCATATGCCAAATGTTTAAGCTTTATCTCTACGTGTTCTATGCATGCATTTCATGAAATAAACTACGTAAAATATCTACGTATTAAACTTAATTCTTAAGTTCCAAATAAACTATGTAAAAAGTTACTGTGTATACCAAGTTTTGAGAGAAGAAGAGAGGGTAGGAACAATAGTTTATGTTGGCCACGGCGACGGCGGCCAGACTTACGGCGGTGAAGGGTGGTGGAGGTTATTGTTGTTTTGGAAGGTGGAAACAGAATCTTTTGACAGAAACTGAATGAGGGTACTTTGTTTCCACAGTGGTTTTTGAAGAACCAATATTTAGAGGTGCAAAAATTTCGATTCCTATAAACTCTCAAAGCCAATGGTTCCTATTAGCCCTAGCTGTTATGTAATCTCGTGACAACTCAGTTTTTGCTTGTTATGTGGAATTCAACAGAAGGGACAAGCATTGTGGGAAACACAGATTGGTGCTCAAAATAGAAAATAGAAAATCCATCACACAAGACTCAGGGAATGAAAGGAACTTGAATTTGCATGCCAAACTTGCACACACTACTGTGTGTCATTACATTTTATAAGGTGGCATGAAACACGTCATGCATGTAAAATATGTGTTTTTACTTATTAATAATATCGGATTATATACAAACAATATATATTCGTTATTTTAGTTTATTAAATAAATATAGTTTAAATTTGTAACATATATGTTACAGACATTTTTTTATTGATTTGTATAGTTTATTATATATAAATTATTTGTTTTAAATAATATATTTTAAGATATGTATATTTTTTAAAATAAAATTATATTAATCGTATTAACTATCAACTTTTTTTAACGAGGTTATATTTGAAGAATAAAATATTTAATTTATTGAAGTAATTTATTAAGTTTTTCGTTGTGCACTAGGATTTTGATTATTTTTTTCAAATTTAAATATGGAGGATTATGTATATTTATAATATTTTTATTTCTGAGTTTATACCTTTAAATGTTATTTTAAGTTAATTATTATGTATTAGTTTAATTTTAAAATAATTACGTTTTAGTAATGAATTTTAATATTAATTAAATATCACATTCATACTTAAATTCAAGTATATTTATATTAAAGAACATAATGAAGATCACTCCCAAAGTTTTAAAATTTCATGAGTTTCAACTGATATAGTTGGACTCAAGCTTTTTTTTTGTCTTTTTTTTTTAATCAAAATCGACATAAATTTACCTTCTTATTTTATATTGTATTTTTATTATTACATATTACAAGAAAATTGTAAAATATATGAAAAATAGTTATATATAAAAAAATGGGTTGTACTTACAACTCAGTCATTTTCAAGAAAATTATTCTGTAACATACATCCACTTTTGTTATCATTTTGTGCAACTCAAGTGATCATCAAATAAACTTTTTTTTTTCAATTTAATTTTATCTAAAATCTCAAACTTAATCTTCTATCTAAATAATTGGGATGTATAATGAATTTAAGATATAGAAATGTGAATTGAAAATTTATATTTTATATTAAAAAAAACAACTTTTATTTTCCTAAATCATATTTCTTCAATTTGGTATAATGGTCTGTTCCCAACCACATTCTTTAATATTCATTCAATAATTTGTACTTAAAAAAAACTCCTTAAATTGGGTAAGTTTTGAATATGAACTTTGTTTCTTCAAATTCTATTACAAGTGAGATCTTGATAAATTGTTGAAGTTCAAATTATAGATCCTTATAACTTCTTGAAGTTCAAATTATGCTTTTGATAAGTGAAAATAGGGGAATGACGGTGATAATTTTGGAGTCCTGTTCAAAGACATTGTAGTGACATTTTTTAAAATACTATCAATGGTTATAAATAATTGTCGTCGTATAGAGCATATAACAACGGTTATTAAACACTCGTTGTTAAATATTGGCGACACAAGTTTTTTTATGACAGGTGTTTATTAAATGTCGTTGTGTGTTCTATATGATAATATTTATTACTAATAACTATCCATGTATCTTCTTAAACTTATTCTCATTCATTCTCTTCCCTCATTCTTCCTCTTGTAAGTAATTGTTCTATCTTGATTAATATATGAATTAATTTACTGTTTGTATTGTAATGATTGATAGTAATATTTGATTTTTTTTAGCAAATTTGTGTTGAAGTCGGGGATGTATGATCTCCGATAAATTGCATTGATAACTGAATTATGTAGTTATGTATACATTATAAAATCTAGAAATGGACAAAAATTGAATTAATTATGCTCACATAACTGATGAGTATGAGAAAAAAGTGGAAGAATTTTTATTATTTGCATAATAGAACACTTCAACTAGTTCTACCCGTACCTCAAAGTTCATTTAAAATGAAAAGATATGACGATGCGAGTAGTCATACCCATACCTCAAAGTTATTTAAAAGAAGAAGACATGACGACGCGATTGGTCGTATCTATACCTCAAAATTTATTTTTTAAAAAATAAAACACATAGTGACACGTGCAGCCAACTCGTGTCTAAAGAATTTAGTTTGAAAATAAATATAAAAAATGAACACTAGGGTTTTGAGAGACGAGCAATCATAACCATAAGTGTTTCGTGAGGGCCAACAACCCAAATAACCTAAGTCAAAGCACAGGACTGGTAGCTGCTAAGTCGCAAATGCATAGGCCGACAACCGCTAAATCACAAATGCATTGGTCAACAATCACTAAATCGCAAATGCATAGGCCGACAGCCGCTAAATTACAAAGACATAGATCGACAATCGCTAAATTGCAAATGCATATTTACAATATTCCTTAAAATCACCATACAAAGTTATAAGATACAGTTAAATATTCAACCATACAATTTAGTTAAACAAATTTGTCATCCAAACAACACAGTTACAACACACTCTAGTTAACACAATCCAACAGTGAAAGAAATCATGAGTCAACCTCAATAAACCCCATCTACATTAAGCAAACCCCATCAGAAATAGAGGGAAGAGGAAAAAGACAACAATATACAAGCTCTAGCCTACAACAAAACAAAACAAACAAAATCATATAAGAACCAAATACTCTTATTTAGACCCGGATAACCATGATCCAAAATCGAATATCCCCATTTAGACTCCATTCCCAACCCACATCAGAACTGAACCAAAACCAAAACTTATATACATGGTAACAACCCCACACCGAACATGTACATCCTGAACTCATATCAATTCAACCTTGACCAGGGAAAACATGACACCCAATATGTACCCCCGAACTCAAATCAATTCAACCTTAACCAGAGAACAAACATGGCCCAATAGGAATCCAGAGTTAAACATGACTTAAATCAGGAAACAAACTCAAACAAACCAAGGTAACATATCTAAATGAAAATCAACCCAATTTAGCGCGATTGGAAAGAAAACTCCAGGAACAAATGAAATCCATCAAGTGAAGGGAATCTGAAACAAGGAGAAGAATGAAAGAGATTGGTGTGCGAGTGACCTAGGGTTTGGTTAGTTGACGCAGTGTTAGGGGTGCAATGCTCATGGGTAGCACAGGGGCCCATGATGGAGTTCGTAGTGGTCGTTGGCGGTGCAATTCGCAATGTTTGGGAGAGGGTCTTACTTGTTGGGTTAGATTGTTAGACTTAGAATCACACCTGTATTTCCTAACAATCTCCCCCTCAAACACACTAGTGGTCCTCCTATGTACCGTCGTTCACTCTAACAGGACACGCTTACCTGACTCATTCTGTCAGAAAGACTTTCGATATAAAGACCACCACTCTAACCCACTGTCGATCAAACTTCGGCTCTATACCACTTGTTGGGTCTTTCGAGGGGGATTCACAGGGGAGAAACACATCAATGAGACATGAGACCAACCCATATAAGGATTGACACCACTTTCAACCCAAAACTTAAGGCATTAGGTTATGGGTCATACTTCCTTATATGTTGATCAACTTTCTCATTCTTATCCAATGTGGGACTTAGAGTCACACTTATATTTCCTAACAAAAGTGGGGGTTGCCCCCTTATAGTAATGGTTTTGAAAAGATGGGGATGATTGCCCCGATTTTGATGGTTGAAGTGACAAAGATAGGAAGAACTGGTCCCAAGGTAGAATTACCCCCCATTTTGGCGGCGACACGACCTAAAGTGACAAGATTGCCCTTCACTTGGCTTATCGAATGTTTAAGAAAATTCAAGAATTTTGCTCTATTTTTCTTTTTCTTTTTTATTGTATGCTTTTTTTAGCAGTCATGTCGTTTGTCAAGAAATCTTATCATAGGATCAAGCGTTGCAAAACCAGACAACCAATCCTTAATCAGCGTGGACTTTATTTGGCTTGTAACGTGGTTATGGGTTAATGGCTATGAAAGAAAGGGGTATTAAGACAAAACAGTATTTGTAGGTTATTTGAAACAAGGATTGTCGACCCAAGTTATGCAACTTTTACAACCAAGGTTTGGTTTGTCTAACATTTTGTTTCTTTTTTCTTTTCCGATTTTTTTTCTTCAAGATGCTTATAGATTCTCGATTCATCCTATTTCTTGAATGATGATTTCCTTTTCTTTTCTTCCCTTTTTTTTCTGTTGAATGTCAATTATTAAATGCATTTGATGTAACAACGAGTTGACTTTTGATATGAGAAATCCTTGTTTAAGGGTAATTTGATAGAGAAAATTTTTTTTTGCTCGAAAGGGGGTAGCAAGGGATATTGTTTATATATTTTTGGGATAAAGAAACATGGTCACACATCACTTTAAATCATGACTATCTTATTTTTCCAAATATTGATCCTACAACAAAATTTGATAACTTTCGACACAAATTGCCTTTTTATTATTTATTTTCTTTATATTTTTTGTCCTGTTTTTTTCCTAGACTGCCCTTATGGGTTTTCAGTCTAGTGGACTTTTCTTTCTATTTTTTTTTCAGACAAGATAAACTCAGTGGAGTTGCTTCAAAATGAGGTCACTTTACTTTGTACGATGATGAATGTTATTAGAGCAAATCCGTTTTTTTACGGAGGGACTGATGGGCTAAAGGATTTCAAGCACCATGCTTATGATTACTTTAAAGGAAATGTTGACTTGTCGTCTTTTATCAAGGCATTGGATCGAAGAAAGCGCATGACATTCCTCACCATTATATTTTTTTCATTTATTTTTTGAACTTTTCATCAATTTTTTTTGAAAAATTATTTTAAAAACGTCATGAATTTGATGACTATTCAAAAGAAATAATTAACTCAACATGCAATTTTGCTTTTTTTTTTGTTTGTCGTTTTTTTTAATTTTGCGACACCCGTTTAGGACTTGATTAGAGCTAAAACCAGTATATTTCCATGCTCTACGAAGAAAGTCGTTGTGCTCATTGATAAATGTAGAATTCAAAACCTAATGTGATATAGAATAAACTTGTTAAACAAACCATTGTCATTCATATAAGGGTATAAAATTCTAACATATAACAAAAGCTAACAAGACAAGAATCCTAGAAAAATCATGAAGGTGAACCAAAACTAACATTAATCAAATCAAAATGGTCGTCAGGTCTTCCCCTAGCCCTCGCTCTCCACAACATTTGCAGAAGTGTTGTCATGCCCTAGTAAAGGATTGTGCTCAACACTGGGTTTGTCTTCCTCGAAACTCTACCATCCAGAATCGATTAGAGCTTACACCTTGCGCTTGAACCCAAAGCATTTCTCCGTAAAATGTCCAATAGCCCCTCCATGATAATCGCATATGGCATTCACGTTGTAATTTCTCGGGTATGGTAGCTGCATAAGCTTCATGGAGCACATAGCAACCAACCTGTTGTGAAGGAGGTTCGGAAGCAGCTCTATATAAGTAACAGAAATGGTAGTAAAATTAAAGTCTTGATTAGAACCTCCCTTTAGGTCTGATCCTCGGCCTGACCCATTGTAGGAATGCTTAGGTTAAGATGTTGGACCTTGAGCAAATTATGCTTGGGGGAAAGCTTGTTGTTAGGAATGATAGGTACGGGTTGCAGGTTGTAAGTAGTTTCGTCCATAAACTGGGGCATGGTTCACCTAGAGGGTGTGGAAGATGTTGCATGCACTTCCCATTCTTTCCCCGATTTTGCTATATTTGAGGTCGTAAACATGCCAGGTGCGATTCTTCTAGTCTTCAGACTGACCTCTACTCTTTTCCCAATTATGACGAGATCAGAAAAGTTTGAGGAGATGCTGCCTATCATATGCTCGTAGAACAAAGATTGCAAGGTGGTTAAAAACATAGTCATCATCTCCTTATCTTGTTGCGACGATTCTACTTGGGCAGCAACTTCTCTCCACCGTTGAGCGTATTCTTTAAAAATTTCACTTCCTTTCTTCATCATATTCTGCAGCTGCAGCCTATCAGGGGTCATATCAACGTTGTACTTGTACTACTGCATGAATGCATCTACGAGGTTCCCCCAAGAATGAATGCGGGTAGGTTTAAGGTGCATATACCAGTTTAGAGCCATATTAGACAAGTTATCTTGGAAAAAGTAGATTAGCATCTTCTCGTCATGAGCAAAGGATGTCATCTTCCTACAGTACATGATTATGTGACTCTTGGGACAGGTCATCCCTCTATACTTTTCTAATTCAGGCACCTTGAACTTTGGAGGTATAACAACATTTGGGGCCAAGCACAATCCGACAGCATCCCCAAAGCCATGACTTCGTCTCTCCTCAATGGCTCTTAGCCTTTCTTCCAGGATGTCCCACTTCTCTTTGGCTTCGACATCTTCAGTGACCACAAGCATGGCAGTTTGAAATGGACATTTCACTTGAGATCTTTCTCTTGTCACCAGGTGCAAAGCTCCTGGAGGTATAGTGACCTAAGGTCCCTGAATGGATTTGCCTCAGACATGTTTCCAGCTGCAAGATGTATTGTAGGCATATGGGTCCCGTATTCACGTGTTTGAACTAGCATTTGAGTATTTTTTTTTTCCTCTTGCTTTTCAACAGCATGAGTCTTGTTAGTGCTTTTGAGGGCTTCCAAAGCTTCCAGAATTTGATTTATCTGGCCTTTCAGCTGATCAATGTCGGACCCCATCGCCTCTTGAGAGTTTTCTCAATCTTCCATTATCTTCTGATTTGCTTGAGTCCTATAGGGATGTCGCGGTGGCTTAGTCGTTATTCGTCACACACGATTTCACTCTTTTTGTTAGTTTTATTAACAGGAATTAGAATATGGAAGACAAGATGCATGCAAAAAGATGCAAAACCAAAAAGGGAAACTGGTGGCAAATCATAGAACTGAATAAGTATCCTTTTTTTACTTGATTGTATGAAGGAAATTAATACATGGTCAAACTTGTGTAAAACAAACTTATATTGTTTCTTCATTATGGTTGAATCTTATTCTTTCTGGACTCTATATTAATTTCCCTCTTTCACTATGATAACCAATCAGTTTTATGATTTCTCAGCTCTATAACTAAGACATAATGTATAATTGAATGTATGAAATGCATGAGGAAAGAGAACATGAATTGATTCTTCTCTTATTACGTGAAAAAAAGGGAACAAATCCATCAAGATGAAAAAGATAATGCATATGGTATATTTGTTGTGTAAAAATAGAAGTGAGGGTACAATAATGCATAATTCTTCCTTTATGCCTTAATCATGGTTCAGAGTAACATTTAAAGATCTAAGGCAACTTTTATGCATACTCACAAGGAGGACATCCTAATCTTAATGGTAGAAGGCCCCTAGAGCTATGACATATTTCACGACATTTCCCACAACAGTCAATAAACGACCAGAGATGAGAGTACCAATGAAGCAAACAGACTCTAGTTGGGGTTCTCACAATGATCAGCCGGAAAGTACATTCCAAGCGGCATTGCTACACAACCCCTTTAATTCTAAGCTTGCTCAGACTTGGGTACAGGGTTGCACTCAATATGGAATGCATAAGTATGTGTGTGTGTGTGTGTGTGTGTGTGTGAAGGGAGGAAAATGCATACCTAGCCCTCACTTGCAAAACAACCAGAAAAATCCCAGGCAGATGTAACAGATGTTGTCTACCCTAGGGTTCAATAATTCAATAATTTTATTAGCAACACTATCAAAACATCAGGAACAAACAATGTAAAAAGAAAGGAGGAAACAAACATTTAAAACTAACAGATATCTTGCACACTCAACTAATTAGACTTGACTCTCAAACACATCCCCAGTGGAGTCACCATCTGTCGTAACCGAAATCGCGGCGGAACGACGGACCAAAAAAAGATTTTAAGATTTGATAATCACCAGATCAGAGTTTTGGAGTCGCCACTATAGTTTATTCAGGAAAATTATGGAAAAATCATAAAGATAAGACAAGGTCTACGAAAACTGGATTCAGATTCATGGAGTCGGTTACGAGTAAAAAAGGTATTAGCACCCTACAACGTCATTCCTAAGACGGTTACCCTTAGTTGAATGTGTGAAATTAGATGTCATGTTTAAAATATTTATTTTCCCCAAAAATCAAAAAACAAAGAAAGAAAAGAAGAGAATAGAAAAAAATATTTTTAAATTTTCTGGGGCCCAACAAGGGTTGACCTTGCTCCTACGTATTCTCATTCAAAATGAGAAATCAGGGTTACGTAGTTCTTTATAGAAAAAATTTGTGTGTTTGATTAATGTTTTGAAAATTTTATTTTTTTGAAAAAGTTTTGTATTTGGTTTTGCATATTGTTTTTGATGTTTTGCAAACACATGATGACATTCAAAATAGAGGACATGACGACTCGAACGGCCGTATCCTTAGCTCAATTTATTTCAAAGGAGAGGACATGAGAATGCAAGTGGTCGTATCCGTACCTTATAGTTTATTTAAAAGGAGAGGACATGACGACGCAATTGGTCGTACTCGTACCTCAAAATTTATTTTTTTAAAATAAGAGACATAGTGACGCGTGTGAGCACACTCGTGTCTATGGGTGTCAATATGGGTTCTAACCCATGAGTCAACCCAGCTCACCACAGGTTCGAGCCTGATTGAGTTTGATTTTTTTTATTTTTATCGATTATAGGTTAAAAATGAACCTGACTCACTTAAACCACAGGTGAAACAAGTTCAAGTCGGGTTATGGTGGGTTAGCCAGCAACCACCATTAATTTTAAATTTTAAAAATAATTATAATAATATATTAACCCTAATTAATCATTTATTTTAAATTTTAAAAATAATTATAATACTTTAGTAACCCTAATTGATGTTATCCTATCTCACCTCTACCCTACATTGTCGTTGCCGCCACAAGTCAAACTCTCACTCAAGTTTGTTATCAGTTGTTCGTCGCACCACTACGTTTGTTGTTGCACTTGGGTCACTTGTCTTTTCATCTACCAATCGCACCACTTTACCACCGTGTCAACTGTACCGCTTTCAAAGGTAAGAATTTGTACCATAACCTAAACGATTGGATTGATTAATCTTCATTTGAAAATTGTAGCATCTATACATTATTTGTTGTTTCTTATTGATTTATACGTATATCTCTTTAATATATGAATTTTTTACTTCATTCTTTCAAATTAATTTACAGTACGGAATCTGAAACAATACATCAAAGTGTCAATGTGAATTGTGTTGCTAATGATTTTATTATTAATAAAAAACTCAATGAGCCAATTTCAGTTAATAATGAAGATACTGATGTTGAGAAAGAAAGGAAGAAAGCAAAAGTTTCTACATTCGAAGTTTGGAAATATTTTTCAAAAATTGGTGTGAAAGATGGTAAGTAAAGAAAAGACAAAATGTAAAGCATGTGGGCAAGAATATATGATTGGTGGGTCAAAAATAGGTATTTCAACCTTACTCCGTCATTTGAAAAAATGAAATATTAATCCAAAATATCATGATATAGGAAGGGGTGTTAAAGTGAGTCAACCCGGCTCACACGGGTTGGCTCACCATGGGTTGAGCTGAAAATAGATGAGCTCAACTCGACTCACTTTTTGGTGAGCGAGAAATTTTACAACCCGGCTCAACCCACCACAGGTTGGTGGGTTAGGTGGGTTGGCTCACTAACCCATATTTTTTTTAAATGATATAAATATATATATATATATATATATATATATATATATATATATATAATTACATTATAAGATATTAACACAATGACATTATAAAGATACTAAGTAAATAAATTTAACATCCAAATCATTCAAATAGTCTTACACAACATTATAGTCTTAGAAAAAACCAAAGTATCATCCTGCTACATAAATAAAATTAGCAAATAACTATAAAATACAATTTGAGATATGTCAAGCTATTCAATTTGCAACCGGTGGAATTTGTTCTTTTGGTCCATGAACAACATTAGAATCATGTCCTAAAAAATCTAGAATAATTTCTTCTTCCTTTGTAACATCATCATTATCTTCATCTACAAAATAAAAAATAAAATATTAGAAAATTATTAAAAAGTATGATAATAAGAAAGTATTAAAAATAAATAAAAGTAAATTACCATTATTTTCAAAGCCATTTAACCAATTTTTGATTAAAATAAGTGCTTGAAGATTGTTAGGAAGAAGACTAGACCGATATTTGTTGAGCACGTGACCTCCAATACTAAATGCAGATTCACTAGCAACTGTTGTTATTGGTATGCTCAATACCTCACATGCCAATCTACAAAGATTTGGATAACGTTCTTGACGGTCCTTCCAATAGCTTAAAATATCTAACTTTGGAAAATATTTTGGCTCAAGTGGTGTTTTAGTCAAATACAAATCCAACTCAGATTTTCCAGTAATATTAACATTTTAACTCACATAATTGATATATTCCTATAACAATAAAATGAAAAATAATCAATTATTTAATAAAGATTAGATAATAACAAATAATAACAACTATAGGAAAGATGACAAACTTACATTATATGGATCAATCTCTTGATCTTTCTCTATATTGAAATATTCTTTTGTTGAAAGAATAGGTTGAGAACTTGATGCATTTGATGAATTTGATCTTCCACTCACATATTCTTCAAAGAGTTTGTACATCTTGCCTTTTATATGATTAATTTTTTCATCACAAGCGGAAGAATCAAGCTTTGAGTAATAAAATCTAAGTGCTTCAAGTTTCATCCTAGGGTCAAGAATCATAGCAATTGAAAGAATGACACTATATTCACTCCAATACTTGCCAAAATTTTTCATCATCCTTTTTGCCATATCTTTCATTAATGGATCATCACTTTTGAGTGTCTCCCTTAACAACCACTCAATTTTCCATACTTGCATGAAATATTCATTAGAGGTTGGATAACATGAACCAGAAATCAAGTTGGTTATCTTATAAAATGGCCTCAAAAATTCACACATTCTTTTTGCTCTTTTCCACTCATCATTTGATGGACAATGTTTAAAATTTCTATCACGTATAGTAAAACTTCCAAAAGCACGACGATACCTAAGACCACTTTCAAGCATGAGAAAAGTAGAATTCCATCTAGTAGGTACATCCAACTTTAAGCCAACCTTAGTATCAATACCTCTCACTTGAACAACACATTCTGTAAATGTTATTTTTCTTGCCTCTGATCCTTTCACATATTTAATGCTTTCTCTAATTTTTTGCAAAGCAACTTCAGCCACTTTTAAACCCTCTTGAACTATAAGATTCAGGATATGAGCACAACACCTCACATGAAAAAATTCACCATCACATAACAAACTATTTTGTAAGTTTAATTGGTCACCCAAAATTTGTTGCATGCGATCATTAGCACTAGCATTGTCCAAAGTGATAGAAAATATTTTTCTATCAATTCCCCATCCAGTCAAACATTAAAACACTTTATTTGCTAAATCATGACTTGGAGGTTCCATTTTACAAAAAGCAAGAATCTTACTATTCAATCTCCAATTATTATCAACAAAATGTGTTGTCAAACAAATATATCCCTCTTGAGTACAAGCAGTCCAACAATATGATGTTAAACAAATTTGATTATGACATTTATGCATTTCATATTTCAATTTCTCCTTCATTTCAAGATGGAATTCCCACAAATCAGACACTATAGTATTCCTACTCACATGCTTTACATCCGAATTTAAATATGAAAGCAATTCTCTTATCCATTTATATTCAACAAATTTAAATGGCAAATTATGTTTAATGATAGCCATTGTCATTATCTCATGAACATTTTTGTGATCAAGTTCCCTATTTCTTAACTTTCCCATGTTGTCAATCATCATTGCACCTATATCATGATATTTTGGGCTAATATTGCATTTTTTCAAATGACGCAGTAAGGTTGAAGTACCTATTTTTGACCCACCAATCACATATTCTTGCCCACATGCTTTACATTTTGCCTTTTCTTTACCATCTTTCACACCAAATTTTTGAAAAATATTTCCAAACTTCGGATGTAAAAACTTTTTCTTTCTTCCTTTCTTTCTCAACATCAATATCTTCATTATTAACTGAAATTGGCTCATTGGGTTTTTCATTAACAATAAAATCATTACCAACACAATTCACATTGACACTTTGATGCATTGTTTCAGATTCCATACTATAAATTAATTTGAAAAAAAAAAGTCAAAAATTCATATATTAAAGAGATATACGTATAAATTAATAACAAACAACAAATAATGTATAGATGCTACAATTTTCAAATAAAGATTCATCAATCCAATTGTTTAGGTTATCGTACGAATTCTTACCTTTAAAAGCGGTACAGTGGGTACGGTGATGTAGTGATACGATGAACAGATGATAAGATAGTGCAACAATAAACGTAGTGCTGCTATGAACAACTGATAGGGTTTGACTTGTTGTGGCGACAACGACAATATAAGATAGAGATGAGGCAGGATAACATTTAGGGTTACTGAAGTATTATAATTGTTTTTAAAATTAAAAATATAATTATTAATTAGGGTTAATATATATTATAATTATTTTTAAAATTAATGGTGGATTGCGGGTCAACTCACCATAACCCGGCTCGAACCCGTTTAACCCGTGGGTTAAGTGAGTCGGGTTCATTTTTAGCTCATAATCGGTAGAAATAAAAAAATCCAATCCAACCCGGCTCAAATGCGTGGTGAGCCGGGTTGGCTCACGGGTTAGAACCCATATTGACACCCCTAGATATAGGTGCAATGATGATTGACAACATGAGAAAGTTAAGGAATAGGGAACTTGATCACAAACATGTTTGTGATATATGAGTTAGTGAGTCAACCCACCTAACACAGTGGGTTGAGCCGGGTTGTAAAATTTATTACTCGCTAAAAAGTGAGTTGGGTTGAGTTCACCTATTTTCAGCTTAATTCATGGTGAGTCAAGCCATGTGAGCCAGGTTGACTCACTTTGACACCCCTACACGTGTCTAAGGAATTTAGTTTGAAAATAAATATAAAAAATGAACACTAGGGTTTTGAGAGACGAGCGATCATATCTAACCATAAGTGTTTCGTGAGGGCCGATAGCCCAAATAACCTAAGTCGAAGCAAAAGACTGACAGCCACTAAATCGCAAACGCATAGACCGACAATCGTTAAATCACAAATGCATAGGTCGACAATCACTAAATTGCAAATACATAGGCCGACAACCGCTAAATTGCAAACACATTGGCCGACATTAGCTAAATCTCAAATGCATATTTACAATATTCCTTAGAATCACCATACAAAGTTATAGGATACAATTAAATATTCAACCATACAATTTAGTTAAACGAATTTGTCATCCAAACAACACAGTTACAACACACTCTAGTTGACACAATCCAACAGTGAAAGAAACCACGAGTCAAACTCAACAAACCCCATCTACATTAAGCAAACCCCATCAGAAACAAAGGGAAGAGGAAAAATAAGACAATATATAAGCTCTAGCCTACAACCAAACAAAATAAATAATATCATATCAGATGCAAACACTCTTATTTAGACCCAAATAACCATGATCCCCATTTAGACTCCATTCCCAACCCACATCAGAACTAAACCAAAACCAAAACTTATCTACATGGTAACAACCCCGCACCGAACATGTACATCCTGAACTCATATCAATTCAACCTTGACCAGGGAAAACATGACACCCAACATGTACCCCTGAACTCAAATCAATTCAACATTAACCAGAGAACAAACATGACCCAATAGGAATCCAGAGTTAAACATGACTTAAATTCGTAATCAGAGACACAGGAAACAAACTCAAACAAACCAAGGCAACATATCGAAATGAAAATCAACCCAATTTAGCGCGATTGGAAAGAAAACTCCAAGACCAAATGAAATTCATCAAGTGAAGGGAATCCGAAACAAGGAGAAGAATGAAAGAGATTGGTGTGCGAGTGACCTAGGGTTTGGTTGGTCGACACAGTGTTGGGGGTGCAATGCTCACAAGAAGCACCGGGGCCCACAATGGAGTTTGTACTGGTCGTTGGCGGTGCGATTCACAGTGGTTTGGGAGAGGGAGCTACTGGTGAAGGTGGAAAAAGTGTTCTTGAGGCTGGGAGGTGGCTCAGCCAGTGGTGGCTTGGGGTGGAGAATCGACCTTGGGTGGCACGCGTAATGGGTTGTGGTGAGGGTGGTTCTAGGGTGGTTTCGGAGGTTTGGTGACCGGATGTGATGGAGGGAGAAGCGGTTGGTGGCTCGATGGGGATTCAGTGGGTGGTTTGGTGAAGGAGAAATGGCTGGATGTGGGGTAAGCGTGATGCGGGGAGGGTGAGACCATGGAGGCTAGGGTTGACTCACAGTGGTTGTCGGGTTTGTGCAAGCCAACCGTAGTGGTTGGCAAGGTGAGGGAAGGTGGCCACAGGTAGGAGGCACGATGATTAGGGTTTAAATAAAAAAGGCGTATGTTGGCAATTTGGTGGTCAGTAGCGTGGGTGAAGGTGGCGTGAAGTGAGAGAGGAAGTGAAGGTGGTGATGGGGCTTGATGGTAGTCGCAATTGAAGGTGGGGGAGAAGAGTGGTGGAAGAGTTGCTGCTGGAGTTGAGTAGGGGCTGCTATGCGGGGAAAAAGAGGGATTGAGAGAGTCAGTGCGTCAGTAAAGGTCCTCCATTTTAAAGTCAAAAATTAGGTTAAGATTTTGAGAACTAAGGTAAAAAAAAAGGGTTCGGCCCAAAATTTTGCCTCTTAAATTTTTATCTTAAAAAGCTACTACTTCATTTTCCTTTTTTTCTTTAAATTATTTTTTTATTTTTCTTTTCTTAAAGTTTGTAGAATGTTATTAAAGAAAATTATTATTATTATATTTATTTTTTTCCTTTTTTCTTTTTTATTTTAAAGTGCTTAAAAGAAAACATTTTTTTATCTTTTTTCCTTTTTTTATATTTTAATATTTTTTCTTTCCTTTTTTTCAAATATGTTATCATCTATTTATTATTTTATATCTACCCGGACGAAATTGGGTCTTGACACATTGCAGAAGAAGTCATTGAATTTTGTTCAGAGTATATGTCGAATGCAAATCCTATAGGACTTCCATCAAACTCTTGGCACAATAGATGATCAACAAGTAAGTATTTACGATGCGTTTATATAGTAATTAAATCAAGTTAAGATGTTCTTCAAACACATTTGTATATATTAAACAATACATATAAGGTAGTTTCTTACTTATTTGTTCATAAAGCCATTATAAAAAAGAATAACCCAAGACAACTAGAGAAGTGAGTGTTGATGCAACATAACAAGACATTTATGACATGGTTTAAAGAGGAAATCATGAAAGTTCTGATAATATCTGAAACATTAACATAGCTAGCAAATAGACTTAAATTTGATGTCTTATATTGTACCGGATATGATATTAATAATTGTTCCTTCTATACAAAGTCTCTGGATGATAAAAACACTGTTCAAATTAGTGGTGTGACTCTTAAGACAAAATTCATGTAGTTCTTTACTTCTAAGGATTAAAATCCTGTTATTAGATCAAGATTGTATTATGGTGTAATTGAGGAGATTTAGGAGGTTAGTTATACTAATTTTTCACTGTCTATTTTCATGTATAAATGGGTTGACAATAAGAGTGGTGTGAAGATTAATGGATCAAGGATGACATTGGTTGCATTTCGAAAGATAAGATATCAAGATGAACCATTTATCATGACACATCAAGTTTCACAAGTGTTTCATGTCAAAGATCCTACTTCTAAACATTGGTAAGTTATTCTTTATGAAAAAAAAACAAGATTTTTCTTATGAAAATGAACAATTTAATTTTGATATTTATCATACTTGTTTATTCACATCAACTATAATTAATGATGTTATTAATTATGTACATGCAAATAGAAAAAATCATGATGAAAGAATATACATATGTATGATATATATTTATTTTTTATTTAAATACTTATAATTATTTTTAAATTATATCTAACAAATTCTTTTTTTTAATAAGAAAATATCCAATGATGAAGGATCGCCTCTTGAATTAGAGAAGACATAAAAAAAGTTTAGTAAAGAAGTTACTAGGTTGAAGTCGCTCTCACTTAGACATAGACATAGTAATAGCGAGATGACACACTTCTTACTATTGATGTTCACAAAGGTGTGGTCTCTTGACCAAATGTTGAATTTTTTAATAACTACCTCAGTGTATTAACTCATGAGAAAATAATCGTCGTCCAAAAATGTCATAATTTTTCATATTTGTACTAGTGGCTTGTCTTAAAAAAATAAAAAATTGTGTATAGAAAAATATAAATATATTTAAAACAATTTTAAAAAAATTAACAATCTAAATATTTTTTATTTTATTAGATTTTAACCTAGTTCTAGTGAGATCAAATATTTGCATCATTTAAAACACACGTATGGTCATGTGTATTGTTTACAAAGAAATGTTTTGGCCTTCATGGTTTATGTTAGTTTAATTTGAATATTTTGATTTGCGTTTATTTAAACATATGAATTTTAATAAAATTTTCTACTTTCATTTTATCCGAAAAAAATATATAAATGACATATTTCATGCTTTCAATTTTCAATAATAATTAATAATTATCATTATACTATTACAGTACAAATATATCAACGTACTGGCAATTACTTGAGATAAATATATAATAAATTATTATAAAAAAATTATTTTAATATAACAATCATTAATTTTATTTAAGTAATAATAATTTACATTAAATATTTTTTATTTTATTTTTATTCTTAATTTATTTTAAACAAATTATTTCAATATTTATATTTGTAATAAATAAACTGAAAAAAATATTGATGAAATAAAATTATTTTAATAAATAATATATTTTTATTTATCTAATTAAATTATATTTTTATAAATTAAATGTTTTTTATTAAATGATTTGATTAATATTTTTATTTTAAATAAGTTATATGAATTATAAATTTTTATTTATTTTTCCTCTTTTTCTCTTAATCCAAATATTTTCATTTTTCATTTTTTTCACCTGGTATTGACTTTTCAAATTCAAACACATCAATAATCAACCTACCTTTCTACAAAGCTTGTACTTTCACAATACATAACTAAAATAATGTATAATAAGAAAAAAAACCTAATATATTCATAGGACCATAATCTACGTTAACAAGAATGATCACTTATAAAATAGTTCTTAAAGATAATTAGGAAAATTAAATATGTGCTTTAAAAAAAATGTTCTAGAGTTAAAAAAAAAATGTTGTTATCAAAAATAAAATACCATATATTGAAATTATTTTTCTTTTCTTAACAAATTTTCAAAATGTAACTTCGTTCCAATTTTTTTTATAGGTTAAAGATACTTGTTGAATCTTTCCAAGAATTTATAGGAGAGAAATATAATCAAATTAGATAAAAGTTCAACCCAACATAAAGATTAATATCACGTTAAATTCAAAACTTTAAAACATTAGTTAGATTATGGGTCATTATTTATTACATGTTATTTAATTTTCTCATTTTTACTCAATATAAACTCAGAATCACAATTAAATTATTAAATTACCCAAAAACACTTGCATTCATAATTCACATCTTTAATGGTAAATATATTTTTTAATATGATAATCCAATTTGATTATTATTTTTTTAAAAACAGTTTTCATTTTTTTTAAATTTTTAAAATTTTTAGAATTTATTTGATAAATATTTTGTTAAAATAATTTTTGTTTTTTAATTTTTAAAAATTAAAAAATTAAAATTGATAAAATATATTTTTTTAATAACATTTTTATAAATAGTTATATTAAGTCACTTATTTTTATTATTTTAAAATTTTCAAAATTATTTTTCAACTTTCCTAATAATTTTTTTGTGGGTTTTTAAGTTATTATCTTTCGTTTATAATAATTTTCAAAAATAAAATTATTAAACAATTTTTGCTAGTTATTTTTAAAAATAATTTTTAAAAACTAGAAAAAAAAAACAAAAAATAAATCCAGAAGCTTTATTATAAATCAATAAGCTTCCCCTTTTCCTTTTTATTCAACTAATCTACTCTACAATAAAGAAACCACATCTAATTTCACTGGATAATCTTGAAACTAAAGAAGTTCAATTATTTTTGTCCTACTCAATCTCTTTACTCTCTTAAATACACATTCTGAAGGTTATTTTCTTATTTTTGCTTTCTTCATTTTATGATTCACCATAGCAATTAATAAAAACAAATTATTCTTAACTATTTATCCCTTTCGATTTTTTTTCTATATTAAATTTTAATAATTTCGTTAAAATGATATCAATAATTAAAATATCTTATATTCCAATTTATATATTTCAAGACATTTATTTATTATATTACTTTTGATTACAACACAATCCATATATAAAAATATTTATTACAAATTTATATTAAATGTTACTAAATAATATTTTAACGTTAATAAAAAAATTCATCCAAATTAGTATTTGATTCAACGTATAAGAAAATTCGTTGAACTACCAAGAATATGTTTACGAAATTTCGTAATACCAGAAATAATGATAAACAAGTTTAATGTCTAATTCAAAAGAATGGAAAAACTAGTGTAAGGAAAAAAAAAATAGAAAATCTATTAACCATCACGATTGTTTATCTTGGATCCAATGGTGGTCATTAATTATGGTTTTCAAATTTTGATGATTGGTTCGTTGGTTTTGAGAATTGAGATGTTCAGATGTTCAACTTCTTCCACTTCAGCAAACTTGCCGCTTCTTCAAGTCCAAGGCTTCAAACACAACAACAGTAAAGTGACTGGAAAACGACACCGGTTTGGTCGATGGTGAAAGGCTTGCACGGCCAGAACCTTCCCGCCGACGTGGCGCAGGTGGTTGATCAGCTGGAGCGCCACTGCTTCGCTCCCGATGGATCACTCATCTCCAAGCCTCTCTTCAACGATCTCCAACTCGTATCTCTCTCTTCCCATTATGATCGCTTTGTGTTTGTGAAATGTCCCACCACCCTTGCAAAATGGATCCTCCGTTTTTGTTTTTAAACTAGAAACATCTGTCGACCCATTTTGGCAAATTTCCGAAATTTTAAATGAAATTGAGTTGGGTATTGATTTTACGTGTTAATTCGCAGGCCAGAGAGGAAATGTGCAGGGAAAGACTGCGTTACCTGGAAGCCATGGTAAAGGGTTATTTATATAATGAGTAAATATTTAGTGTCTGTAGAAAGGATAAAACTTATACACAATACTTGAGGTGCCGTTTGTGTTGTTATTGAACCCGGGATTAGAATTGTTCCTCTGTAATCCGTGGAATGTGGCTTGCATTAAAAGATTGTGTGGATTATTAAGATGAATCTTCAATTCTGATTGGATAACATTGAAACAACACCTGAGGTACTGCATCTAAGTTTAAAATAGAGATTTGTTAAATTATTATGTGATATTTGGATTAAGAATTGTGATCTGGGGGCGAGCTTTCAGATTTAAGTATCGTTGGAATCGTGCGAATTAGTCTCCTCACCAATGTTTTCAATGTACTCTGTAATTTTTATCTCTCATATAGGGGTTTGGTTGCAGGCGATATATTCTGAGGCTATTGCAATGGTGGAAGAGTATCAGCAAGCCATTTCTGTATCTAACCTTGGTGGAATTAGAGATACTAGCAACCTTTATCCACAGCTCGGGTTGAGGAACTCTCCTCAGGTCTGAAAACTTAGTTTGATTTATGAACAAAGATATTGCCTCTGTGAAAATGTTTTTGATTTTGGTTTTAGAATATTTGACTGAGCGCATTGTGTGCTTCTATGCTTTTCCTTTTTGGCCCATTGATCTTTATTGGTTTAAACGAAGTTTACATGTACATATATTGTCAGGTTTATCAGACTTTAGAGCATCAAATGGTTGTTGCTGAAGCAGCTCAACGATTGAGACTACCTCTTATCTCCAAAGATGGGGAAGTTCATGATGAAGACATTGAAAAGCTAAGTGTAGTGTCTCGAAGCTCCCTCGACAGTAATGTTAGTGGGGCCAACTCTAATTATAACACTCCAAACAGCTCTGTTAGTGGAGCTAATTCTGCTCTTGCTGCTTCGGATCCAGGGGAGCTTGGAGTTGGTGGTGTTCCAAATCGTTTTTTGGGAATTACACCTGCTTATTTGTGGCAAACTCAGCATCAAAAAACACCATTATCTGTGGTATACTATGTAACAGCATTTGAAAGTCATCTGGGAATGCTTTCTCTGTTGTAGATTTATGTATTTATTTTTTATGTTATTAACTGTTATACTCTCATTATTGACGTGTTAACAATATCCTTAGGATATGACAGAATATCGCTTGTCTGTTTCACGGGAGGTAGATGCTCGCTTGAAAATGAAATGTGAAAAATTATCAGACGCCTTTGTATTGGATGACAATGGTAAGTGTGAACTGCTTATTACTTGTATAATATGGAGTTGTGGTTGGATAATTGTTGATTTTCCTTGGTTATCATTTTGATTTTAAGTGCTAGCTGATTCCTCATTTCCTTGTTCATGTGTCAGATTCTTCATCATCTGGAAGTCAAAGTTCAAGTTCTCGGCTTCCAGAAAGGTTTATGCTCATTTGAGCAACCTAATCCTTTTAATTTTTTTGGTAATGTATTTACTTACATGAGAGTTAAGGCCTAAAAGGCTACTCAATTTCAATCTTGTCTCAACTATCAGGAGATGAGACATTTGAGTTTTATTTCATTTAGTCAACTATAATTTAGTGACCCACAAAATCATGTTTATATTTTTGTGAAATTTTTTTATGAGGTCAGATCATACAATTTTAGATTAGTGTAATGATGAAAATGACTAATAGGAATTTACTTTAATTTTGGTGATCTTAGTAACAAGAATCAAGATTTATTTGATTTCTGGTTTCTTTAGCTCCTCAAGATGGAGATTTTTTTTTTTCATTATAATATGACTCTATTTTGAATTCTAGTTGAGGATCTATCATATATTTGTTGTTGGTTGTACCCTGTGCTAACAACAAATATTTAAAGTGGTACATGTAAGTTCCATCCTGGAAATATATCTTAAACTAAAGTTTCTTGCTTTCAATACCTGTTACTTTACCAGGGTGAAATTGTTGATTGAGGAGATTGAAAGAGAAGAAACAGCACTGCGTGATGATCTTTATTCTGCAGATAGAAAGTTTGCTGAATATTACAATGTATGTGCACAAACATTTAGTGCAAGAACCATCTTTCTTGTAGACACAAACATTTTCCTAAACTCCAACGCGTGTGTGTGAGAGAGAGAGAGAGATAAAGAGTTTGCCTGTGTGGTGTATGTGTGTGTGAGAGAGAGTGAGAGATAAAGAGTTCGCCTGTGTGGTGGTGTATCGGCATTACAAGTTGTATTTCTTTTTTGGTAACATGTTTATGGTGGCATGTACATACTGAACATCATTATGCTTAAATAGGTCTTGGAGCAGATACTTGCAGTGCTTATTAAACTTGTCAAAGATTTGAAGTTGGAGCATCAACATAAATATGTCAGTACTTATTATTTAATAAATTCCACTATATTAATTGATAAAGACATATCCTGACTTACTCCATGTATTTGTAGGATGACCTGCAGAAGACTTGGCTCTGTAAAAGGTGTGAGACCATGAGTGCGAAATTGAGGTTTGTTTCTTATCTGCTACCTTTATATATTTTCATTGTTCTTCACTGTAAATATACTGCTGGGGTTTTGAAATTTGGAATAACAAGAGATGAAATGATAAATTAAATTATTGATAATGGAAAATCTCAAACGAGATCAATTGGTAAAAATATAATTTTTCTTTTCTTGTTTAATAAGTTGAGTTTAATTTCCAAAATGGATGTTTCTGGTACACAAGTTGGATACAAAACATTGCTTCTACTTAAGGGTTAAGATAATAGAAAAAAAAAAAAATTTCAATTTATAGTATATATAATCCAGGCAATGTAAGACTGGCTTGAGCATAGTTTTGGCAGCCACTGTTAGGCCTAGTTACGCAGTTAAAATTAAAGGCAGAGAAGAGAATGTGGGGTGAGACAGCTAGTTGGTTAATGAGTTGTGGGGAGAGACCAGTTTCAAGAATCCTAGAGAGAGCCAGAGACGCAGTCTACATTCTTTCTCCTCCTAACCTAGGTTTCTTCATTGATCCAATTCTGCAACTTTTTTGTCATAATTTTCCCATTCCCTGAACCAAATCTATCACAAATGTACTCCTGCAATACTAGTTTTCTGTAAATTTCTGATTTAACTGCTTCCAAAATAACTTTGAAGGTGGTATATTAATTAGTTTCAAGAAGATTACATGAATAATGGGACACCGATGAGACATCATGCGAATATAAAAAAATTGTTCAGGTTCTTAATCAAACCAATAATACTACAATTTTTTTCTTGTTCTAATGGTAAGTCATTTCATTTTTTGTCACTTTGATTAAAATGCAAATTTTAAGGAGCATGAGTTGTGGTAATATGGTTTCAGTGTTGATTCGTTGATAATTCATAAAGCTTGGAATTAATGTTGGCCAATTCTAAATCAACATTAATTTTTGTTGTTGTGTCAAATGGACCATGGTTGTATTTTAGTGAGGACTAAGGGATAATTGGAGGGGGTTTAACCTAAACAGAAGGGTGTTACATCTGAAACTCAAGGCATAATTCTGAAATTAATTTGTCCTTAAATGATAGGATTTCTATTCCAACACCGAAGTTCCTTTTATTTTTAATATAACTGTTTTCATACATGATTTGTAACATATTTTTACCTCCAGCAGAGGGAAGCATGATTTGTCTAACTTTGTCCAAAATGGTAGTCTGATTATAAGTCCAGATATTAGCTGGTTCATTTCATACATAGTTACATGGCATTTTTTTTCCTGTTATATGATCAACTATTTGTTAATTTTGCCAGGTTCTGTTATAATTGTGATGTTTGCCCTTGTGTATCAGGGTTCTAGAACACGTTCTCCTGCTTGAAACTTACACTAAGGACTCCATACCTGCCCTTCATAAGATAAGGTATGAATGGAGAAACCCTTGTAAATCTATAAGCACTTCCTGCATTAGTATTGACAAACCGTTTTTCCTTTTTCACTTTAGGAAATATCTTGTCGAGGCAACAGAAGAAGCTTCTATTGCGTATAACAAAGCGGTACGTTCCTATATCCTCATGCATGTTTTTAGCTCTTATTAGTAGTGGTCTTTGATTTTAGTTTTATGTAGTTTCTCATCATGAATCAAGTTCTTCACCAGAAAAATAAATGCTAATGTGATGAGACATGAGGTAACTTTGTGAAATTAGCTTCAGCACTCGCCATCCCTGTTGAGAGCATCTTGTTGTTCCTCATGCATTGGAAAGATAACGAATTGATGCCTGTTCAGTCTAATGTTTTCTTTTCTAGTGTTCCCCCAGATATAGGCGATCGTAGAACTTTTAATGAGATCATAATAGCACATTTGTTCAAATTCAAATCCTAAACACCTTATTCTCAAGTCTCCACATTACTTTGACTGTTATAATTGAATAAGAAATATTTGTTACTTTTTATATTATCATGGATATTAGAGTATTTTGATGTATATTAACACAAGAACAGAAAAGATTGAGGAATTAAAACATACACACGATGACTTGAAGGAGCAACTTGTGGCATAATACTGTCATCTGCATCACATAAATGTGAATTCTCTGGTGCAGAAGAGTAAGAAAAATTCTATTGAATGTTTTTAATGTGGCATTTGGAAATGGGGAGCCTGTGCCAAGGATTGACAGTTAAAATCTTAACTTGTACCTGGAACGGAATCTAATTTTTTGTCTCATCTTTGAAATTATTTTATAGGAAGCAAATGCAATACAAAAATAAATCAGACTTCTTTTATAAGTTAAAAAATCAACTTATGCACCTTATTTTTTGAGAAGTAAAATGAAACAGATTTTATAGAAGTTGATTTTAACTTGAGAGAAATTTAATTTATTTTACTTATTTTCTTCCTTATTTGTACTTAAAAAGAAGTTTACCAAATCCCTATCTAATGTGAAAACTTATTAGGTCAGACAATCTGATGAGGCCCAAAGAGTTAGTGGGCCTCGTGAACCACTCGTCCAAGAAGGGAGTAAGGAAAGATGGAGAATAGTGTACGTGAGAAAGAAGAAACATATGGTTGAGGTGGCATAATTAAGGGGGATGGCAGTTAGAGGAGAGAGAAGGATATTTTCTGTGAGAACTTACAAGTTATAAGTGGAAGGAGGGGATGTTAGTGAGGTGGGGAGTCTTTTTGTAGAGTGAGAGAGGAACCGGTTGTGTTACTCTAGAGGAGCCTAGCTCCGGACAATAGTATTTCTTTCTTCTTCTATTCTATGCTTGGACATTAATCTTTATTTTGCGGTGCTGGTCTGTATCACAATCATAGTGCAAGTAAGATTATCAAAACCTATTTTAAATTTTAGCTTAAATATATTCTTTATTTTTTTGTTAATATCCTCATTATTTTGTTTTAGTCCTTATAATATATTTATATTTTTCATTTTAGTCTTTATATTATTATGTTCATTTTGAATTAGTCCTTGTAATATTAATTTGATAAGGGATTAGAAACAGATGATCTACATATTACAATGACTAAACGAAAAAGTGAATATATTGCAAGAATTAAAACTAAATAACAAGGATAGAAAACAAAAAGGAACTTTATGGAGATCATAAGTCAAGCAAAAAAATTTAGTGAATATGATTATATTTTGTGGACTAAAAACGTATTTAAACCTTAAATTTATTGACAATGTCATTATGATTATCTTCTTCCATTGTTCATCATGTTTGTTATATTTTTGGCCTTTGTGTACCCCAGGTTACCAGGCTGCGTGAGTACCAGGGTGTGGATCCTCACTTTGACAACATTGCAAGGCAGTACCATGACATTGTGCAGGTGATACCACTTTAGCCAAAATATTTACATCCATTGGTACCAAATATTTATATATAGAGATATGTCAACCAATTTCCATTCAGTTCTCTCCAATATTTCTATTCAGTTTGTCCTGAAACTTTCCTTGTTCGGTTGGGATGACAAAATTGATGAAGAAATTTGAGGATATAACAATGGATAAAAAAAACATACTAGTTGAATAGAAGTGAAACACTTTGAACTTCAAGGAAAAAGCACACACTTCTCATTTCAATCTCCTACGTGTATTTATCTTTTCCAAGTTTCATATGTTGATGATGTTGTGCAGAAATTGGAGAACATGCAATGGACAATCCACCAAGTTGAAATGGACCTGAAACGTTTGCCAGATAAACCTAGCACATAGAAGTTTTATGCTTTGTCTCCTTATATTGCTTTGAATGGCTTCATGTAAATGGTATTTTTAAGGCACCCCTTCCCATCACTCATTGTTAATCATGTCCCTTATGATTGATAAAGGCTTGTAATCTTCAATCCGTATGCTTGTTTAAGTATTTAGATTATTTTACATCACCTTGTTTGATAGGACTGATGCTAGGCTGGGGGACCTTTACATGTCCCCCCACAATGGGAGATGGTTTTATAATTATTATAACTCATTTGTCTTTTTCTCTTCCCAGATCACCTCTCTACCTTCGCATGTGAAGATCCCCCACCCTAGTCTCCACCACCTGATAGAGGAGAAAAAGAAAACTTGAAAGACAGATATTTCTTTTCTGTTCAAGATATCAATAGTATTTGGAGTATTTTTACATGCATCATTTGAAGACCAATATCTTTTAGGCATTATTTTCATTAAGAAATCCTAGATGGAAAACTTCAACCTAAATTCTTTTCATAATATTTTAATAAATAATGTATGATTTAATGACATTTGATGGAAAAAGATTGTGTATTAATTGTATAAAATAATTTTATATTTTTCATTAAAGATGCATGTTGAGTGGTGGGTTTCTTAATTCGTGAATCATGAGTTTTAGAAAGATAGATTGCCCAACTTTAGCATAAAGTCAAAAGATATTTTTCTTTTTGTTGTGTTTACATTAATAATTTTTAAAGAAATAGAACGAATTATTAATCTGCCGTTTTTAAAAAAATTTCATTTATTTATTTTATTGGCATATATTTTAATTATATGATATTTATATATTCAATTTAATTAATTGAAATTGACTAAATATCATACAAAGACATTGTGCCTAACTTATCTGAAAGGAATGCGGAAGTGATAGAAATGAATTAGAATGTGTCCCACAATTGGGGTCCTCCCCATTCTATAGAACAAGGGTTTCAAAATTGGGTCCCCATTCAACTTTAAAGGCACTCATCCTCAATTGTAGTATAATTGTAGTTGAAATAGTAATAAGATAATAATATTATTTTAATATAATACAATAAGAATTATTAAATAAAAAATATAATATTAAGATAACATCCTAAATGATTCTTACTCGAAGTATTATTTACTTAATTCATGTAAAAGAATTGAGTTTACTTTTGATATATTTTGACTGTGATTTTTTTTTAAATATTGTAAACTAATTTGATATCATATTAGATATCACATTTAACTAATTGTAACACAAGTCACTGGTTTTACTATATGCACGACAATTTATGATTAAACTCAAAGTAAAAAATATATATATATATATATATATATATATATATATATATATATATTTACCGTACTATTATAATTTTGATAAAATTTTAGTGTAATTATTACAAAAGTAAATTTTCCTAGTTATTTATAACTGAATGACTATGTTAAAAACTTTGACATTGTTATTGCATTACAATCAAATTCAGTTTTGATACTAACAATATATCAAAGTCAAACTATACTATTTTTATATTTGAAATATTATATACTTTTATTGAAAATATTTTTACAATGTCAACTAATTATTAAAAATCGACTTTGACATAACTTTCAAAATAGTTGTATAAAAATCAATCATCTTCCATACAAATTGTAGTTTTAGACTATTATATAAGTTTAATACGTGAATAAGGCTTTAAACATTTTTTAAAAAATTTATTAAAATTCTCAACCTAAAAATGTAAATAATTAGTGTAAGAATTAAGATTTTATTAGTTTAAGAGAGAAGATGAGTAAAATTTGAATTTTTTTTCTTGTTTAAAATGTTATAAATATAACATTTTAATTATTTAACATTCGTTTCTTTAAAACTATAATTTTTTAAAAATTTTAGAATTTCTAATTTTTCTTTGAGGTTGTTCACTCAATTCTTTTTCTTTTTTTTCTTTTTCTAAGTCCAAATATATCGTAATGTTTCTAGCAAAGAAAATAAGACTTCATTCTATTATAATTTTCTTTATAGTAAATTCCTTTATCTTACTTATAAATTTTGCTATACTTTTTATTTTAAAAATATTCTTTAAAATTCTTCATCTTTTAAATTTGTGTCAATTTAATCCTATAAAATTAGGTGCCATTTGCGGTTCTAAGAAAATAATTTAACTATATTTTAACTAATTTAAAAATAAAAAAGATTAAATATTTTTTTAAAGTTGATTTTTATTAAAATGAGTACCTTCCAAAACTTTTGTTGGTTTTTATATCCAAAATTTAACATATATGTGAATTTAGTTAAACACATATATGAAATTTTAATATATAACATTTAAGATAAATTCACATAATAATTAAATATTAGATAAAAAAATATAAATTTTAATTCGAATCAAATTTTTTACTATATAGATTTGGACCAAAATAAACTTATCTTATTAGATTCAATTATATAGGAAATTTGGTTACTAACCCGTTTATTTTATTTTATTTATTACATATATTAAAATAATAAAATAAAAAATTATAATTTTTTTATTCAAAAGATAAAATAAAAATGTAATTTAAATAATAATTACACTTACAAATTAAATTTAATTATTAATTATAATTAAATATTTATATATAATAATACAAAAAATTTACTTTTAATCATTATTTAATAAATTACTTATTTTATATTTTTCTTTCTCGTATTTTTTAATCACTCCTTTTTAATTTATCTATAATATAAATATAAAAGAAATGAATAAAATTAATTAAAAAAATATTATTTTTCTTTCTTTAATTATATGTTTTTTTATAATTTTTCCTTAAATATAAATTAATAAATAAAAATAATTAAAATTGTTAATTTCGATTTATTCAATTAATTACATATTTTTTAAAAACTTTTTCTTTTTCTTTTAAAACTTTCATCTATTATTGTTAGTCTACCCATACATAATATTTATATTTAAAATTACTATATATATTAAATTTCAATTTATTAAAATAAATATAGATAAAATATTTATTAATATTGAAACATAATTTAATCATGAGAACAAATACACAGTCTCGTTCTCCACTTTTTTAATTATTCTTGTCTTCCTTCGTTTCGTTAGAGTTAAAAATTAAATTTATATCTCGTCTTTATTAAATTTTGGATTTTTTTTCCCATCCTCGATTTATATTATTTCTAAAAAAATAATTATATTTATAATAAATTCATTTTAATATTTTTATACATAAATAAATATTTATAATTTTATAATTTGTAATTATTATTAATTAAATATATATTTTTAATTTATTATATTTATATTAAAATATGTATGTAAAATAAATATTAATTATTTTTTATATGAGTATAAAATATTTATAATAATAATAATAATATATTCAAATTACATAAGTTAATTTTTTGTTAACTTATCATTTAAAAATATAAAATATATAATTAATTTTTATTTAATTAGTTAAAAATAATAAAAATTGTAATTATTACTTTTTTTAATCATTTAAAATATAATTATTTTATTAAGATAAAGTTTAATATAAGAATAATAAAATAAAAAAACATAATAAATTCTAATAAATATAAATTATAAATACAAAAATATTAATTATAATTAATATTTATATAAAATATTTAAAAAAAGTAAAAAAATTAATTTGTGTTCATGAAATTAATTTAAAAAATTGAAAAAATTAAATTGATGAAAATGATTAAAAAATTTATAAATAATTAAAAGATAAAAGAAAAATAATAATATAGTAAATTAATTAACATAAAAAATTTAAAAAATAAAAAATTAATAAAATATAAGAAAGATAATGTTATAGAATCAGAACAAAGAAGAAAACGAATCACGATAAAAATTACCTTAAGGCTTTGTTTGGTTGGAGTGATTTGAGAGAGTGGAATTGAGAGAGTGGAAAATGAGAGATTTGAAGAGAAATGGAGATGATTGAAAAGTGAAAGGAAAGTTTATGGGAAATTGTGAATGATTTGATTGATATGAGATATAAAAATTATAATTTTATGTTGATTATTTAAGAAAATCACCATTTTACCCTTTGTATAAAATAAGGTTCAAATGATTATAAATATAAATTTTTAATTAATTATCCATATTTTAACATTGATTATATATTTAAAAGAAAAAACAAAATTAAAAGTGTTTGTAATTGGAAACAAATTTAAAAAATTAACTTTTTTAGATAGTTATTAAAAATTATATAAATAAACAATTACAAAATTATGTACATTGCATATCCATATTCAAATAATGTTGATATATTAAATAAATTATTTGACTAATAATTAAATAATTATAAAATATAAAATAATAATTAATATTGATTGATAATAACAAATAATTATGAAAACTAATAATATAATTGTACATTATTATTTAAAACAAATATAAAATACAGTGAAAATAGAATAATAATTAAATGAAACATTACTAAAATTATAAACCTATGCACACTAATGCTCTTCAAACAAATAATTATAATGTTATTCATCTTTTGCGATCAAGTCCTCCGGTTCGGATCATTCGATCACTTCCACTCAAGAACATGAACAATTGGGAGAGGCGAAGATGTCCCATATATCGACTCAGAATGTTGAAATGTTGATGATCGTCTCATCACATTAACTTGAGATAAAATAATTACAATATAATTTTCTACTTTAAGAATTAATAATATAATTAAACTCAAAATTGAGAATACTCTTATACATTTTGAACTCTTTTGGATAAATTTTGTTTCCCTAATTTTTGATAAAGTTAATTTTAATATTTAAAATTATTTAACATTTTGAATTCTGAAAGGTTTTCTCTAATAGCAAATTAAAAAACATAATATTCAAAAAAATATTTTAAGATTCGAGTCTCGGGTTGCATTTCGCTCGAGCGACTATATCTCGCTCGAGCGAAAAATGATCTGATCGATCATAATTTGAAATGATCGATCATAATTGGAGGATATAATAGCGGTTCCTCTGTAATCGCTATCTAAAGTGTATATTAGATAGCGGTTCATATACTAACCATATTTTAATTTCTTGAGTCTCGGGTTATGTTTCGCTTGAGCGACTATATCTCGCTCGAGCGAAATATGATTCGATCGATTAGATTTTCGAAATGATCGATCATATTTCATAATTTTTTCAAATAATTAATTCTAATCGATTATTTTTCTAAATTATTGATTAGAATTGATTAGTTTTTCAAATAATAGCTTAGAATTGATTAATTTTTGAAATATATATTAAAAATTATAATTAAAAATATAGATTATTTAAGAATATTAACTATTGTAAAGATAAAGTAGAACATGGGAGGAGATGAGGATGATAATATAATGATAGAAGTTACAAAAATGTAGAATTGAGAAGTTTGAAACAAAAAAAATTAAGAAAATAGAGATTTAATTACACTTTTAATAAATTGAAGATAATTACAATATAATTTTCTACTTTGAAAATGAACAATATAATTAAGAAGATCAAGTGTAATGTTATTGATGCTAATTTTAACAATAATACAATAATATTATTTTCGAAAATGCCCATGAATATGAATATTTTGATTATTATTATATAAAATAATTAAAAGAATAAGGTAAATAGAAAAGTAAAATGCATGGTTATACCACTTTCCTTTTAATCTATAATTAGTTAGGTATGAATCAAATGTAAAGTCTAATGTTATTGATGCTAATTTTAAGAAGATCACAAAATGTAAATTAAATAACTACTAATATAAATTTCTACTTTGAGAATGAACAATATAATTAAACTCAAAATTGAGAATACTCTTATACATTTTTGAACTCTTTTGGATAAATTTTGTTTTCCTAATTTTTGATAAAGTTAATTTTAATATTTAAAAGTATTTAACATTTTGAATTACGAAAGGTTTTCTCTAATAGCAAATTTAAAAACATAATATTCAAAAAAATATTTTAAGATTCGATCTCGGGTTGCATTTCAGCTCGAGCGACTATATCTCGCTTCGAGCGAAAAGCGATCCTGATCGATCATAATTTGAAATGATCGATCATAATTGGAGGATATAATAACGGTTCCTACATGCTTAGGTATCTAAAGTGTATATTAGATAGCGGTTCGAGTGGAACCGCTATCATATACAACCATATTTTAATTTCTTACGTATCGGGTTGTGTTTAGCTTGAGCGACTATATCTCGCTCGAGCGAAATATGATTCGATCGATTAGATTTAAGAAATGATCGATCATAATTAGAGGATATAATAGCGGTTCCTCTATGCACGCTATCTAAAGTGTATATTAGATAGCGGTTCTAGTGGAGCAGCTATCATATACTAACCATATTTTAATTTCTTTAGTCTCGGGTTGTGTTTCAGCTTGAGCGATATGTCTCATTCGAGCGAAATATGATTCTGATCGATTAGATTTAAGAAATGATCGATCATAATTGGAGGATATAATAGCGGTTCCTACTGTATAGCTATCTAAAGTGATATATAATAGCGTTTAAGATTTAACCGCTATTAGAAGTGATATATAATAGCGATTATGTTTTAACCGCTATTAGAAGTGATATATAATAGCGGTTAAGTTTTAACCGCTATTACAAGTGCTATTATAATAGCGGTTAAGATTTAACTGCTATCATATGGAAGAGGGTAAGTTGGACATTTCATTATATCCATCAGACTTTCGTCTTTTTTCTTTGCAGATTAGCGAAGAAAGCCTCTCTCCCCTCTCCTCCTTTTCCTCACCTGTATTTTTTCGCAAATCTGTTCAACCAAATGTGAGTGAATCTCGTACTTCTATATTCGTGAACAGTATTTCGTCGCACAAACACAGCATAACTGTCCCATTTCACCCCACTTTTTTTAAATAAGAAAAATATGAATCTCCGCACCCACATCAATTCGATTTGACCTGTAAAACTGAGAATGCAAACCGAACAACCCGCGGTTGTCATATGATGCCACTTTTACGCATTTCTGGATACTTCGCTATCTTTCTCCAACACTCCCTTCACTTTGTGGGGCCCACTCTCTCAACTATATCTGTTTGGAAGCACTTTTTCACGGGTCAGCGTTCATTGTACGCCCCACGCACACGCGTCTCTCTTTTTCTTATCCCGAATAAGAATACGATCCTCCTATCCTCCCACCCAAACGCACCTCTTCCTCTTCAACTACATCGCACACCCCTTAATCGCCCTCCACGTGTACGCATCAGAACTCTCAGCCGTCCAAAAACTAGTGGCTCTCACATACTACTTGCACCGCCTCTCCCCACGCACTGCTATATATATGCGTAAACCCCCTCTTCACGTTCTTCATTCATACAATACTTCAAAGTTTGTTTCTCAAGTCTCTTCAAAGGTTTGTCTCTCGCTTCTTCTTTATTCTATCTTCGGACTTTACTTTGGTTGCGCTCTCTGTGTCTCAACCGTTGATGCGGTTTGGGTGACATCAAACATTTTTTAATAATGAAAGGTTCTGTACTAGGTTCTTGTGTATTTCAGTATTTTTTTCAAATGGTGGATGGTTTTGTAACTTCCGAGGTTTTTCAAGGTTTGGTGTTTGTTGATCGTGGTTTCCTGTTAGATGGGTATGTTATGGGGTTACCTTTTAATTCCATGTTATGTCCATCTAAGAAGGCTTATCTTATGGAAAAAATTTAGATACAGATTTTTTAATGAGAAAATAGATTATGTTATGACATTCATGACGTTTATCCTGCAGGAAATATCATCAGGGGTTTATTTTCTCTTGGTATTTCTTTTTTAATCTTCAATCAGAATTGAAGATTCATATCAACAGTCAGAATAATAAATGTTCACATGAAAAACATATCTTAGATTACAGTTAGGGAACTCAAATGCTGATTGAAGAAGAACTGTTTGGGAACTTTCTCTAAATTTTCTGTTGTATTGTTTACTTTGATACATGATTCTCAATATGTTGGATGATGACTGTGGCAAAGTTCAGAATCCTTGTTTTTCTTGTATTCTGAAACTGTTGGTGGTTTACGCAGAAGCGATCTGTGTTGGGTGTTGTCAAGTTTCGATCAAGCTAAGTACATGGTTGAATTGGAAATCCAAGTCCCCACCCCATTTGACCCATTTGCTGAGGCGAGAGAATCGGATGCCCCCGGAGCGAAGGAGTATGTGCACATTCGGATCCAGCAGAGGAATGGGAAGAAGAGTCTGACCACAGTGCAAGGCTTGAAGAAGCAGTTCAGCTACGAGAAGATCCTCAAGGACCTCAAGAAAGAGTTCTGCTGCAACGGCAATGTGGTGCAGGACAAAGAGCTTGGCAAGATAATTCAGCTCCAAGGTGACCAGCGCAAGAACGTCTCACACTTCTTGGTCCAGGCCGGTCTTGTCAGGAAGGACCAGATCAAGATTCATGGTTTTTGATTGCTCTAGTTTTGTGCTGTAATTTGTTTGAAGTTGTTCTTGGTGGGCTTGCAGTGAGGTTTGAGATTTGGTTTGTTTTGCTTTGTTTTGTTTTTTAGGAGTGGTGATTGAATAAGTCTGGTTTGGGTTGGATTTTCCAAATTTGATGATTGGATTCCATGGATGGTGTTGATGAAGTTGAATGTGTGAAAAACATTTTACATATAATAATACTTGATGGTTTGGTTTTTAGGAAGTGGTTGATTCTGGAGGTCATACAACGTTTATATTTGAGCTGGTTTAGCCACAACCTGATTCAATTCAATGTCTCAATCTTGGCAAATTGTGAGTGAAGCTAATAAGATACTAATTAAACATCAAAACAGTGCCTAGTGGAGAAATAGTAAAGAATGATAACTGAAAAAATTGGAAAATGATTAGAGAATACAAGTGGTTCTTATGTATAAGTTTATTATTAATGTAAATATTGATATATTATTGAAATTTTACTTCAATAATATTTTTTATTTAAACTTAAATATATATAAAAATTCGTATTTTATTTTGACCCTTTTTTATTTTGTCTTTGACGTGTCTTTCTGTGAAGAAAAAAAGTGCAAAACACGTCAAATTACGGAGGATTGGGTCTGTGAGGAAGGAGCATTTGGTGTCCTTATCGGTTTCGTAGATGCTTTGAATTTTGGGCACTTATTCAAATAATGACTTTTTCAAAGCATGTTTTCTTATGCACACAAGAATGAATGAAGTGTTTATATTTGATGCAAAGACAACACGTACTTTACAAGTCTCTAATGATAAATTATTTTCTTCTCTCATTCATGACCTGATAATCTTAAAACAAATTTAATTAATCAAGATTATGTTGAAAGTTTTTTTTTTCCATCAACATAGGTTGATCATGTTTAAATGATTCATTTTATAGTAGTATGTCTCAGATGAAAGGTAAATAAATTTGGTGAAAAATTGTTTGAAGTAACAACAATGTTCACTGTTTGAATTAGTCCACTTTATTTTAAATTCAATGGTTGGGACATTCATTGATTTTAGTATTTATACTTTTAATAATTTCTTTAGTTTATACGTTCTAAAATTTTATTTTCACCCTTTAAATAAAGAAAAAGTAAATTTTTCGTAAGTTTCATACTTACATTATAAACATTTAAAATATAAAATAATTAATTTTACTATAATAGAAAATAGAAAACCACAATATTTACATTAATCATGTGATCCTAAAATAATTAATGTAAATATGGTGAACATTTTTAACTTGGCACTATAATTGTTTGAATTTATTAAAAAAAAAAAAGTTTCTCAAACATATATTTTCAATCTCCAAATTAAACCCAACCCAATATTTTAATCTTCAATGTTTCAAAATCCTAATTCGATACACTACTCAATATTTGCAATAATAAAGGGAAATAAATGAATAAAAGGAGAACATAGGTTAGCTTGTAAATAGAGTCTTCCTTTTCTTTTTCAGTTATAATTTTTTACTTTTAGTGTCTCAATTTTTTTTCTATTTCAATTTTTTTATTTATCATTTTTTTTATCAATCTTAAAGGAATATTTTAAGTATAAGATTCAATTGAATCAAAATAAATGAAATAAAATATATATTAAATTATTTTAGTTCGTTTACAAATTCTACATTTAGAATTAAAATTAAAGATAATATATATATATATATATATATATATATATATATATATATTCTTTCAATCAATAAAATATTTTTTAAAAATAAAAATTGTGATAGAGTTTAAATGTGAACAAATTTTTAATTGTGATGATGAATCATAATATCATTATGATAACATTTATAAAGATATTTTAATTTTAACATTGAATATGAGATTAATTTTTATGATGAAACTTCTAAAATAAAATAAAAATTTGGATACCAAACATTGTGACATTTTTAATTATAAAACGTAATAAAATGAAATATTTTAAATTTTAACATATTAAATTAAAATATTAAAAATCACAATAAATTTTTTTAAATCATAAATAACTTTGAGAAATTAATAAATAATAAATAATATATATATATATATATATATATATATATTTATGAAGAAGTATCGTTACTGTAATGCTATTCAATAGAATTAATGATAATAATAATAATATTCTATCATATTATAGGCAAGTTAATTTATTTTTATGATAATTAAATAAGAATTCCAATAATGATATTCTTTTTATTAGTTTATAATATATATATATATATATATATATATATATATATATATATATAATGACAACATTAAACATTAATTATTCTCATTTCGTCCATAAGTGGTTCAGGGTTCATTTTGAGACTCTCTTAAACAAATAAATACTAACTTCTGAAGAGAAAATCGCTTGCTATTGTTTTTTGCTAATATAGTTGAAAATTGGTATCAAAGAAAAATTAAACTTAATCTTATACAATTAGGAAATAATATGACAATAATGGATCAACATTGGAATAGTGTTTAAGAACAAGTTCATTATTAGAGTTACTTTTGTTCAGAAACCATATTTAACTGTCATGACCAAGCAAGGAAGCTTGTTATTTCATTCAAACCAAAACTCCTAAATATAAAACATGTAGATGCAAGCTGAAAGGAGATAGATACTGTTGTAAGTTTTAAAACCTGAATAATTTTTTTACCTTTTATAAGCTCTAAAGGCCAAATTTCAATTTGGTCAATGATTTTTTTACCATAATAATTTAATCCTCAAAACATACGTCTATGTAATAAAAAAGGAATTCTGAGCAAATAATATCTACAATGGAATACTCGTTTTACTGTTAGATATAAATATTTCTTTCAAATCTATCCAAAGTTTTCAATTAAATGAAATAATTAAAGAAACTAAAAAACTATTGACTATTTGAAATGAATGTACTTGCAAAAATTGTTTTCTTTCTTCTTGCTCAATCACTTTGGATTGAATATGTATTGGATATCTTGCTGAAGCATAATGTGGCTGTCATCAGATAATGGACCAAATTGAACTAAACAAGGTTTAATATAACCACTAAACCACTCTCCTTGCAGCATGTGGCCTTCAACTGCAAGAACTTGTATAATCTTATTGAGTTATCAACTTTTCTATGTGAGTTTTTATACTCTAGTGTCCAATGCAAAGTCAACAAGGACTCAGAAATAGAATCTCAGTGAAAAGAAAATAAAAGAAACCAAAAATGAAACAAGGAGTTGACTAAAAGTCATGTGAAGCATAGAAGCTCAGACATTCTAAACAGAAGCTTTACATGCCTATGAGTAATACACACTTTTGGAAGTACTTCTCAGAGGAATAAACCTTTTCCCTAAGCAAGACCCTCAGACTGATTAGATGGTGTGATTTAGAATAGCTTGCCTTGTTGGTTTCCACTCTTCATCATTGCAGAGAATTCTTCATAGTTGATTCTACCATCCTGTGAAACCAAAACATTTTAGCATTAACTATGGAACTAGAATAGAAACTTGTAGCAACTAACAGAAAATGAGCTTACATGATCTGTATCCACTTCAGATATAATTGTGTCCACTTCAGATATGATTTCCTTGATTGTGGCATCATCACCCATACCATATTCTTTCATGGCTGATTCCAATTCATCTCTTGTAATATACCTGTAACGAAATCATATGGAGACCAGAGAATAACATGTCATTTGCTCCTGTAATCTCTATCCAAGTTAAGCAATTCAGCAGTTAATGATTTTGTAAATGAGGTTGCTGGCCACTGTGCCGTGTTTAGTATTAAAAACTCTTACCAAAATGCATGACACTTAGTTGACAAGCATGACATTGACAGTGAACTTAAAGCATTGGTGGGAAAGACTTGGTTGGATAAGATATCATGATGGTGAAGGACTTACCCACTGTTGTCTTTATCAAAATATTGGAAGGCCTTGAAAAGTTGGTCATCTCTTTCTAACTTGTGTCTATGCATTGTAGCAGTGATGAATTCTATGTAGTCAATTGAGCCATTTCCATCTACATCAGCCTACAATTTTGAGCCAAGATAAGTTTGAAAATCCTTAAAGAAAAAATATAGAGGACAAAAGAACAGCTTACAGCATCCATAAGCTGCTTCACTTCAGCCTCTGTAAGCTTTGAGCCAAGTCTTTGCAATCCCGCCTTTAGTTCTTCATAGGTGATTGTACCACTCTTGTCAGTGTCCATGTTTGTAAACATTGCCTTCAAACCTTGGATCTCTTCTCCAGACATATTCTCAGCAATGACCTAAAACAATATTTAAAGTCCAGTGAGTTTTTGAAATGGAAACCTACACTAAAAAATGACACAAATTGGTCTAATTCAGAACCATAACAAGAACAAAAATGAAAATTCCAATCTCAATGTTGTAACTATTATGTAACAGACATCTTTAAGAAGCTATGGTTTAAAATTAACCTTTTATAATCCTTAAAAAACTCTAACACAGATTGTGTATGGACATACCTTTAGGGCAAGTTTCTTTAGTTTGTTCATTGCTCTGAATTGCTTCATTCTGGAAAGGACTGCACTGTCTATTGGCTTGTCTGAAGCATTTCCATCTTTAATCCATGGGTGCTCTAGTCATTCATACAATATATGAATCAGCCAAAGTGAAAATAAAATCCACGAATGAAGAAAAATTTCACAAGGATTTTAAACCCATGTGACCAATCAGCAACAGTTGAAATGAGAAGCAGTAAAAATGATCACAACAGAGCACTGTTAGTGTTGTTCAATCATCAATAATATATTTTCTCTATCAAACACAAATATCCAACAATAAATAAATAATTGAGATGCTGCAAGATAATAGAAGGACTTGCATATTTCTGATGCTGAGAATACAATTTCCATGTAATGTAATACATCTCAAGTCTTACAACTAGTGTATGTTTTACTTGCACAGTGTATGTGTATAAGAAACTACCCTTGAATTCGATCAGATTTTGAATCAGTTTGGTTTTTTCATGCATGACAGTTATCTATACCAAGTGATCAGGAAGATACCATCAGGAGTGCAGGACACAGTTTAATATACTCCAAGTATTTTACAAAATTCAGGAGAAAACGAAGGAAAAGTGATATACCAAGTACTTGAGCAGAGGTAATGCGTTTCTTTGGATCCTGTATAAGCATCTTTCGAACAAGATCCTTGGCATTGTTTGAAATTTTAGGCCAGGGTTGACTGTCAAAATCAATGTGACCTTCCAATATGGCATCAAATATTCCCTTCTCAGACTCTACACAACATATTTGATGAAATATATTAGACAAGTCTAACAAGAAAAAATGAATAGAAAACATAAAAAATATATGTTTCAAATTTTTAATATAAGTTGATAATTCTTTGTTCAATATGAAAATCAAAGTCTCAATTTACCAGCCCAAAATGGAGGGACTCCACTTAGTAAGATATACAGTATGACTCCTGCACTCCAGATATCTATTTCCTTCCCACATCTGCGCCTCAGAACTTCAGGAGCAACATAGTAAGCACTACCAACTATATCCCGATATACCTTTCCTGGAAAGAATTAATCAGAGAAATTTAAGTACACATTCCCAAAGGAAGATAATCTTGCTTTATTTAATTTCGATAAATTATTTGCTTGAATGATAAGTAGTTTCCAAAGCAGTTCAAAGCTAATGATGGAAGCAAAATTTCACAACAAGCAATAAAGCTTCTTTTGTACTGAGCTTCCCACCTACCCCACCTACCCTTTAAGGAAGAGAAATACAGCTAAAATTCTAACTTGAAAATTTCATGAAGTTGCAAAAGTATTTCCACAAAAGCATAATCAAAAGATAAAGTTTGAGATAGAAAGTTTAAATATTTTTACAAAAACTTCAGAGGTTCATTCATTAATATTTCAATCCTAAAATTAAACTAACATATTTTCCTATGAAGACTCCATCTATTGGTTAAACTGGAATTCAACAAAATTAAGATGCTGGATGATTAGAAGTAGCGACCATTTTACAAATCAAAACTTTACCTTCTTCAATGAAAACAGACAAACCAAAATCAGTGGCTTTGAGAAGTGCATTTTCATCCCTACTAGATAACAAGAAATTCTCTGGCTTCAGATCCCTATGCATCACACCCATGAAATGGCAGATATTAACAACATTTACAATTTGTCTGCATATTGAAGCAGCAGCCCTCTCACTGTAATGCCCCTTGGCAATGATCCTATCGAAAAGCTCCCCACCTTCACACAGCTCCATCACAACATGAACTGATTGCCTATCCTCATAAGCCCCTTTGAACTCAACAATGTTGGGTTGACCACTCAAATGCTGCATAATTTGAATCTCCCTCTTTATGTCCTCCTTATCAGATTTGCTCACAAGTTTCCTCTTCGAAATAGACTTGCAGGCATACTTCATCCCAGTTGAATTTTCAGTGCACAGATATGTCACCCCAAATTGCCCTCTACCCAATTCCTTCCCAAGTGTATAGAACTGTTTCACGTCCTCAAACTGCTTCCCTAGAATTGTATCTTGCTTAACACTAACCATAGGTTTAGGACTAGGGGCAGTACCAGAAGGCTTCCACGGCATCTGAGGCACAGTCTGAGCACTGGATGCAGCATGCTTTTCAGGTATATGATAAGGTTGATTTGCAGGTACTCTTGATTGGTTGACCAAAGGTTCATGAGTCTTCTGGGTGTGCACACCACCAGTCCCCGGATGTCTGTAACCATTGTGCTCTGGTTCTGAATCTTTACTTACACAACAACCCATGTCACCAGATTCTCAAATCCAAGTATTGTAACAAAAGAAAGAAGAAAAGAAAAATTGAATATCTTCCACCTCTATCAGACAATTACCACAAATTCAACTGATTCAGTCAAAACATCCAACAGAGTGAACCCAGATGAGAATTCAAGGAAACTATACCATCTTAAACCTTGGATCAGAAACCTATAAGTAAATCATTCTGAAAATTAAAAAGAAAAAAACTGACAAAAGCCTTGTCAGGAACAAAATTAAAAAACCCACATATGAGGATTGTGGAAGAACAAATGATATATGCAGAGGATGTAAAAAGAGAGATAGAGGACAAGTTTGATACTTTGGCTGAAGAAATGTACAAGGAATTATAAAAGTCGAGCCTTGAAAGAGTGTGAAAGAGAAAGAATGTATAAAAAAAAAAAAAAATTTGGGATAAATGCTAGTTGTACCTAAGGTGGAGTTCACATAGTTTATATGCAAGGTTGATTGTGGAGGTTTAATTTTGTTAAATAAAACAGAAAATAATAAAGTGAATGATGACGATTGAGTGAGTGCTACCTATTTTGGAGAAACTTTATGGGAAAGTAATAAATTAATGGAGAAAAATATGACAAAAAATTATTGGAATAAAAAAAAAAAAGGTGTAATTGGTCAACTGTTTCGTATGTGTAGGGTGAAAAAGTTTGAAGCTTTTATTTCACAAGAAGCCACCATTCTCAGAGACACAGAGAAGTTTCCTTGGCAGCTGCTAATGACAGCATAAAAGATGCATCAGATTCAGATCATATCAACAGATACATAGAATCAAATTTAATAAAATGGATAATATGATATATATATATATATATATATATATATATATATATATATATAAAATTTATACGTGATTTTAACAGTTAATCTTTCAAAATGTAATAATTCAATTTTTTATTAAATATTTTATTTATTATTTACCGTATTGGAACGATTGTGAAAATATTTACCACAAACTAAAAAGAAATTTAGAGATTCATCACATTATTCTCCTGACTCATGCATAAAATAATTAGAGAAATTGGGTGATTTTTTACTAAATTTTAAGCGTAATAATTTTGTTATGCCAATTAAATGTTTTTTTAGGTCAATATAATGCGTATTAATATAAGCTTAGCTGAATTAGGCATTTAAATTTTGGGGAAATTATTTTTTACATATTAATAAATTTGAGAGAGAAAAAAAATCTCCAGGCCAGCATGAATGGATCATGGATAAGACATACATACCCTACATATTAATCTCTTATTAGAAAAATTGATTCTGCAACATATTTCAAACTATCGATTTCAAAAAGTACTATTTCATAAAAACTAGATCAAATCTTTGAAACTGAAAAACATCAGCTTCATGTTTTTTTTTTTTTTAACATTCTTAACTCAATGAATGAAGAATAACGTTCCTTTGAAAAGTAAGAGATAAGAAACCGAGAGAAGGTAATAATTGTGATACAAACGTAATAAAAAAAGAGAGAAAAATGAAAAAAATGTAAAAAATATTTGTTAAAAAATTAAGACGGAATAAAACTATGCAATGCATTCTCATAAGATTTATAATAAAAAGTATATAAATTTTAATATTTGTAAACTATTATCATTCAGAGGTTAATCAACAAAATTCTCATAAAAGTTATTTATGTGTAAACTAATTAAAAATTAGATAGAAATAAAAATAGTAAATATTGTTTTAAAAATTAAAAAAATTAAAAAAAGTGAAAAAAAATAATATTAATATTTATTTCCATAAAGAAAGTATGATGTCGTATCTTTATAATAATATTATTATAACTAACTATAATTTTATTTTATTTTTAAATATTTTAAAAAATTAGGACAGAAAATATATAAAAATTAAGTTTAATTTTATTATTAAATGATGTAAGCATAAAAATATAAAATAATAATTAAGTAATATTTTGATTTGAATATTATAAGTTGGAACAGGTCAATGGAGTGATTGATTGAGAGGAAATGATGATTTGCTAGATCATGGCCTTATCAGAGACACGGAAAAACATAAAAACATGTGACGGAATGGTCAAAGCCAAATTCTTGAGACTGTGAGATCAGATCAAAGTTTCAAACGTGAACGCGTTTGAGCCACACGATCATTCACAAAGTTGGACCCAAAGAGAAAGCGTGTATTGAATTGAACAATTGGCATGTACGCGCTTTTCATTGGAATTTTATTCTTTTCTCGTTTTCTCCGTTCTTCTTTGCGTTTTTTTTGTTCACTTGAATTTTGTGATCAAGATAATTGTAAACATAAACTTTTCTCCTTATTTTAAAATATAATATAAATTTTAATTTTATTATTTTTAATATTTTTTTATTAATATCTTTATTATTTTAATGTTTTTTCAATTAAAATACTCTTACAAAATTTATTATCTTTTTTTAACAAATTTAATTAAAAAAATATGATTAAATAATTGTGATATATTTAAAAATATTTTTTGTTTATATAAAATAATCATATATTTTAAACTATTTTTATTATATTAATATTATATTATGAAAATATCAGGATTAGAACACATCATGTTTTTCAATTTTATATTTTTTAAAAGAAAAATTATTTATTTGAACTTCTAGAAGTCAAACTTTTTATTTCTTAATTGTTATGTGATAATATTTTTTTACATTTTTAAATTGTTAATTAATATGGTCACAATAGTACTTTTTGTCTTTCTTTTTTTTAAATAGAACTGCTCCCTAAAATATAAAATTTAAACTAAATTAATTTAGTAATAATGAATATGGATTACTCTTGTCATTACAAAATTGTGATACATTTATAAAATAAAATTGTTAAATATTTTATAATTTATTTTATATTTGTTGGTATATTTAGAATTTCATTTTCTTTTTCATAATTATAAATAAATCATATAATTTTATATGTACAAAATTATGATAGAAATTTGTTCTCCTACTTTATATATATATATATATATATATATATATATATATATATATATATATATATATATATATAATGTACTCTAAATAAAGTATAATTGAATTGTAAAACAACTTCCAATAATATATATATATATATATATATATATATATATATATATATATATAATTCTTGATTTTTAATTTGAAATTGAAATGCTTAATAAACCAATTGATTTCTTATTTTTTTTAATCAATTTTCTTTTCTGTAAACTTGATTTTCAATACTATCGTGGTGACTATTTATTATTATTATTATTATTATTATTATTATTATTATTATTAGTATTATCAAGTTATTTTAATAATATTTTTATTTTATTTTATATCATAATGTATTTATAATTAAAAAATATTAGAGGAAAATAATTTTATTTTATTATTTAATTATAATTCATTATAGATATTATTTTTAAGTAATTAATAAAAAATAAATACATATATTATACATATTGATGTGTGATTATATTATTTTGTTATAGATTATTTATAATTAAATAATAAAAAAATATAAAATTATTTTATGTTGTCAGTATAAAACTTTTTTTCTTTAACTTTTAATTAGTTTTTTTTACTGGAAAAATACACTTGAAAAAAAAAAAAAAGAAGTTACACCACACACAAATTTATTAGTTTGATTTAATCATACATGTTATTATGGCATACTTAAAAAAAATCAATACATATTACTGATAAATTGAAATAATTATTTTCTTTGATTATTAACTTAGCTTTACATTATACCTATGTCTCCATAATATTAAGATTTTATTTTACTTTTTATTTTATCTAAAGATGTTAGAACTAACATTTTTAATACCAATTGATTGGAAGAGTGATGAGGAATTAAAATTGTTTATACAAATCATTTTTTTTAAACAGTTCTATATAAGAAAATAATATTTTTAATTTTAATTTTTTAAATAAATTTCACTAAAAAAATTAAATAATTTCTATTAAAAATTCTCTTATATTTATAATTTTTAAAATAAATAAAATAATAATATTATCTCTCATTTGTTTGGAGCGTAAAATAAATTCTTTTTTCCCCAAGTTTTTTATTTATATTATAATTTTATAAAAGAATTATTTTAGTTTCTGTAATATTATTATTATAATATTTTATAAATTTAATCATCTTTTATTAAAATTCTAAGATTTAATATATTTTAAAATTTAGTATTATTGTTCTTTATTGGTTAAATAGTTGAAGAAAGTAAGAGAATTCCATCATTAACTTAGTTATTATCCTATAACTCTAGCTTTTATGACCAACATATTGTTAGTATAATATTATTAACCTTCACATTATTATTATTATTATTATTACTATTATTATTATACAATATAAAATTTGGTTTGAAATAAAAAAAATACTTTCAAAAAGTTTTTTTTTTCAATTATTATAATGTGTAATAAACCACACGCCATTTCTATACTTTACTTGTGTTCTACACAAAGAAGAATACAAAAAGAAACTCGTTTCTAGACTTTTTGGTGGTTCATACAAATGTTGTTTTTGCATCCATGAAATGTTTATATTCCTTAAAGACTATAAAAGAACATAACTTTGAAACACGATAAACTTTAAGATTTGAAACCAACTTTGTAAGTTGTCCTTTTGTGAATATGTCATTTTTAATGGTGCTTAATTTCTGGGATTGCCTAATTGAGTATTTGAAACTGAATTTAGCAAAAAGTGATTATACCTAATTAATTACATATATGAAAATAGAGAAAGAATTGGTGTTGAAAAAGTAGGTTTTGAAGGATAATATTATTTAATTTTGTAGCCTTTTGATATGATGCTTGGTATTATTATATATCTCCCTTAGTGGTGTGGTTATGTTGTTAAAATAATATAGCAATTAATGCAACAACTTTGTTTGTAGCTTCTAATAATTCAGTTTCTGCTGAACTACTAAATGCTAGAAAACCAAAGTGTAACACCAAAGTGTTCTAATCTCATATATAATAATAACAGGGTCCATCTCTCATAATCATCAATCTTGACTA